AAACAGAATCTCCGACCCCCACCATTGGTGGATGGGAGCCAAAGTGGATACCAGCGGTCCCATCATTCAGGCAACTGTGAGTTTTGATTGGTGCGCATTCATCGGCAGCGGCCGAGCAGGAGTGATGTCACTTTGCACCTTCCCTTCCCCAGAAGCGTCTCCAGGCGGGGCATATCGCCGTGTCCCTTGCAGTTTACAGCACCTGTACCGCCTATATGGAATCTCGGTCCTTTCATCGCTTTTGTTCCTGACATTTCATCCGGATCCGTATCACCCTCCGTGCCGTCAGGTGCAACCAAACACCATCTTGTGTTACCGTATTGTTTTGATACTACTTCTCTTTCTTTTATCACATCTGCCTTGAGTCTTCCGGCGAGACCTGCATGCTTGGGATCATATGAATCCAAGTCAGCCCTCAACAAGGGCCACGAGCTTGTGGCCCCCCCAAGCCCGTAACCTCCACAGCCTGACCTCCACTGACCACCAAGGGAATCAAACATCCCAGCAGTCGATCTCTATAAGTGCGGCTCAGCCCGTATGATATTTCCAGCCGCTTCTGGAGAACCCAGACCGATCCGGCTCGACTTGCCTATCTTTCTACCGAGATTCCGTTGGTGGAGGTTGCGAGTGGGTATTCAGCAGCACGTCTGAGTTGCGGACAACTTGAAGTTCAGTCTGACTCTCAGAAGGATCACAGACACACTGGTGTTTCTCACATTCTGGATATCTCAAGACTCAAAGACCAAGTGGCCGGGTCAGACTCCTCAAAAGCAAAACAGAATTTCATCAGTCCTACTCAAAAGACAAGAAAGCAAAGGATAACGGTACTAGACTAAAGACAGTTCCACAAGCCAACACCAACTTCACACCCAATCCAAGACCAGAGACCTATATCCCGCTCCAATCTTCCTATGTTTCCCCTTTCTGTCCCCATCCAACCCTAACCCTTCCGTTCCTTTTCATCACATCACCACCCCCTTTTCATCACCCCCTTTGGGACCTTGTCTCTCTCTCCCTTTGGACATTTCATTTTCCGTTTCCCTCATCCCTCCTATCCAACAACATCCCTTCATTCTTTTCCCCTCCCCCTCTCCCCTTCTCGTTCTTACACCACGGTAACATTCCCCGGATACGCCCCAATCAAATTGCCCCTCGGCCAAAACTCGCAATAAAACCACCAATCCTGATTCGGGTTCTGCACGCACCTATTGGTACTAAAGGCGCACCCGATCCGTGTGCTCGCCTTCCACACCGTCTGCGTGAAGTGGCCGCCCCCTAACAAGTCGTTGTTCTTGTACGCGGTGATTTCCGTCTGGGAGGTCCAGGAGGCGAAGGCTTTGGTGACGGTTGAGCTGAAGTTGGGAGTGGACGTGGTGGGGATGGTCCACCACCAGTAGGCGTTTTCGCCGTAGGGGCCCTGGGAAAAGGAAGTCGTCAATGCGAGTCACTGAGGGGGTGGAAAGGGGAACAAGAGACGGGAGGGAGGTGAGGGTGAGGAGGGATGTGTTGGTGAGAGGAGAGAGAAGACAGAAATGGGAAGAATGGACTTACAGTGTGATTCAACTTGCACCCATTCGACTTCGTTAACGCAAATTTCGCAAGCGTAGCATCCCAAGCAAGAGCATTAGCCTTGTACTTGGACCGAATAGGGTTGACGGTCGTCAAGACGTTGTTGATGAAGGTGGTATCGGTTGGGCCGGGCGAGGCACGCTTGAACAGATGAGTATCTTGCTTTTCAACGGCCACATCAGCTGGGAGAGCAACGGCCGAGGTTGCGGAGAGGAAGAGAGCCGTGATGGCGAGGAGGGATGAGTGAATCATTGCTGCTGCTGCTCTAGTTCCTGGTTGCTATTTGGCTTTTGGGGATTTGTGATAGGTAGTCAAGGTGGAAGTGATGAGAAAAGTATGAGTTGATCCCATTCGGTATGGTATATTGAACTGATGTGGACTTCTTGGCTTTGATGCGTTGTCCCAGTCTCATGGATTGATATGCAGGGGCCGAGTGATCTATTCAACCTATTTCTTCCGTTTAACTTTATACTTCAATACTTCACGTTCAGCTCGTTACTTGTCTTCAACATCTCCTCTCTGCATATTTGCATTCCTTCTCCCCTTCTTGTCCCGCCTGTCTGTCGGCTTCTACATAGCTCCAGACCTCACGTCACACACACAGATTTGCCCAACCCACACATCTTGAAACGATCCGTGGCGTCTTCACTGGAATGAGCTCTGGAAGTAAATGTCTCGCGTATGATCAGCTCCTCCAAGACAATGAACGAGGCATACACACCATATTGCCTGTAGGGGAAAGTATTGACGACCCCCATTATTGGGGTTTTCTATTCCTCGACGTCACGTTCTTAAGCCGGGACGTATCTTGTCTCCTCTCAGCAGCTTTGGGGAGCCGTCATCATTGCTTGATCAAAGAGCCGCGGGGCTGTTCTCATGAAGGCTGTGTGTGGGCACAACCAGGAGGCGCCTTGAAACATATGTCATTTGATTATATGAAGGCGTAAGCGGTTGGCGTTGGGAAATGATGATTTCTAACAATCTAGACTGCAGTCAGTTTCTGTGATATTAACGGCTCGGTTTGAACCTTTGTGGCCCGTTTTCGTATTCCACCAACCGCCCACGTTTCATTTATGACGATATGCTGCCGCGAGACGATTGGGGCAGAGGGATATCTCTGCCGTCCACAGGTGCCGTCACTGCAAGCACGGAAGTCAAGATGGCCGGAAAGGGAAGAGACAGGAGTTGCGGTAATGATCGACTTGCTTACACGATTCAAAATCCGAATGCGATTTCGCTACGTGCAGTTTATCAGAACTCAATGGCGCGAACAAGAAACGATCACGGACAAAGACTGGCAGGGTACGTCTATAAAGTGATATTCCTCTATCAGGGTTATCTCTAAAATGTCTAAAGAATAGACAACTGTAGCAATAATACAAAGCCATATCTGATTCCATCACAAGGACTCCACCGAGAAGAATAACACCCAACAATTCTAAGTACAGATGTACATTGAAGTTATGTAATTCCGAACTCTTGTTGTCATTGTTCTCTTGGACTAAGCAACCACCAGTCTGTCTTTAAGCGAAAGTCTTGCGGAACTTCTCCTCAAACTCTGTGCGAAGTGCCAAGAAGGTCTTGAAGATCACCGTCAATGACTTACCATCATCGTCAGCCCAGCTGGGCCCCTGAGGACCAGACGAACCGTTATGGGCCGTTTCCGTATCTTCCTCTGTGTCTTCATCACTCTCCTCATCATCCCATGAATCAGCAACCACCTTCTTCTTCGGCTTGGTCTTTTGCTGTTCCTTCTGCGGCGGAGCGGGAGCGCTGACGATATCATTCTTCGTGCCATCTTCCTCATCCCCGCTAAGGTGAGGCGCATCATCCTCTGCCATCTCGTCCTCCTCCTCGAAGGCAAACTCACCATCCTCCGTTGGGAGATCCAAAAAGTTGGCGAAGCTCGTCAAAATGCTGGAAAGAATGAGTGAAAAGTCTTTCAAGAAGTACCAGACATCACCCCCCTTGATCATGTTAAACTCCTTGAGTGCCTCCATATCTCCATGCTTGAAAAAGTCGTAGATGTAGGCGTTCAAGGGTACACCATTCGTTTCCTTGGGTGCGATCGGAATGTATGGGACTGCGGACTCTTCGAGGAAAACGCCCGAGCGGACAGTCTCACACAGCTCGTGAATGCTGCCAAACTCGTCTGTAAGGCCAGAGAGTGCAGAGAATGGCGATCGAACAACGGTAGGTGTCCGAGGTGAGTCCGACGCAGGAAGTATGGCTGAAAGGTCCAACATCGGCTGATCCTGGACAGTACCCACCTTGTAATCGGTCAACGGAAGGCAGTTATCGGGTGTGCCAGCCAGATGCTGATCGGCGTAAGATCTGACATAGTTCTGGAAAACGGACAAGGTCTGCTGGTTGTGGCGCTCTAGAAGCTCACTCGCTTTCTGGGGGAGATCTGGGAGAATTCCAACCGATGGAGAGCGATGCAAACGCTTGAGGAACTCTTCGTCTTTGTACTGGACGCAAGCTTGGCGACAGAACAAGTGGCTCAAGACAAGCACGAGTTCGAGGATAATTTCCTGCTGGCTTCGGTTGCTAGAACACAGGTCGTGGAAGTACCCGTCATTAAGAAGGGAATGGAATGCAAAGACTGCATTCTCAGTGTAGTACAAATGTCCCACAAGGCCAGCGAAGTTGAGCGGGACACCATGTTCGGACAATAGGTGTTGGCGTCGGAGATAGTCGATGGAGAATCTAAGGTGATGAGCAATCGACATCTTCGCATCAGGCCCACCCAAGTAAAGTCTGCTTTGCATCAAGAGGGAGTTTACAGCGTTGACCGCAAACTCGGAGTTGTCTGTTCCGTCTAGGAGTGTGAAAAGCCGCAGGATGAGGGAGACCGATGTAGGAAACTGTCCGCGAAGATCAGGAAGCTTGGCAGACATGATCTCGAGGACCCGGTGCGGATGAATGTCGTGGAAGATAACGTTTCCAAGGATGTCAAAGCCACGTCGGCCAGCACGACCAGAGGCCTGGCGGTAGTTCAGTGCGCTCAGGTAAACTGAATCTCCGGTGAAGACAACAGTCTTACAAGGCATGTTGAGACCCATTGCAAGTGTTCCGGTTGCGACAATTACCGTCAAAAAGCCTTTACGGAAAAGCACCTCGACACTAGAAGCATGGATAAGTCAGTAACCATGAAACGCCACGGATTGGTGTTTGTTAGGAGTGGGAAGACTTACATTTGTCTGTATTGACGGTTCATACCGGCATGGTGCACGCCAATTCCGCGATAGAGTGCAGCCAAGATCCAGGGACGGACGATGTCTGCTTTCCACGTGAGGGGTTCCAATCGCGCGTTAAGCTCTTGCTGTGTGAGCTTAGTGTTGTCTGCAAACCCGAATTGCGGAAGAGGGGCTGCTGGGTCGAAGCTATCCCAAGCACTCAGTTCCCGATTGGCCTCGTCGCGGGCTCGGTCTCCTTTCGTTGCGCCATCGTCGTCATCATTCCTCGACCGGGACTTCTTGGTGTCCTTGAGCTTTGCCTCCTTCAGCTTGGCAGCCTCACGGTATTTCTTCCATTCTTCATAAGCCTCCAGCTTCTTCAGCCACTCTGGGTTGCTTTGCTTATATGCTGCTTCCGCAGCCTCAAGAATGTTGTTGAGTTCTTGAAGAATGGTCTCACAGCCCACCCGATCGTAGTTGAAGAGAATGGCAGGCAATGCTCCATGTGACCTGAGATCGGTGACAAGAGAGAAAACGGAACGTCTGGATACAACAGCTCCAGATTGAGTAGGCGACGTGTCGCCAGACTCGAGTTGGCCGTACGTGGACGACAACCGAGCAAACCTTTCACCACGGAAATTGCTTCGAAGTTCCTCGAACGGAGAATTGGGGTCAAGCATCCAGCTAGCCAAGACATCTTTGAGAGCTGATTCCCACTTGGTGATATCGGATTTCTTGACGAGTGACGGCAACACCTTCTCAGGATCCAGTGACTTTGGAACTTGATACTTGCCATTCTGATACTTGGTCATATGTCTCCAAAGCTCGATACAGTCTCGCGGTTCAAGACTGGCATCGTTCAGAGTGTCCCGGCTCCTATGATTTAAGAGTTAGCTATCGATCCTGCTACATGCGAAGACATGGTTGCGCAATCTTACCTGTCAATGATGCCTGCGACTGGATGTAAGAACAAGAAAGGCAACGGACTCTCGCAATCAGAGTCAAGTCCTGGGAATGGAAGGCGTTCAACGGGCTCAAAGCCTGTGAACTCATATGTGCCCGGAGCCGGGTCGTGAATGAACTTGCGGAGATCGGAGTACCTGGATGTGTGTACCACCATCTCCAACTCATGCCCCTTCGCCTTTTGAGCATTGCGAAGCCAGTCTCTGAATTCGAGAGGGTTTCCTACGGTAGCCGACAGAGCAATGATGGGGCATGGTGCAAGAAGCAGAAGCTGCTCCCAGACAAGTCCCTCTTCGGACTGGCCAATGCAGTGAACCTCATCGAAAATGATCCTCTTGATTCTCCTGGCAAAAGACGTCGGGCCAGCCGCATTGGAAGGAGACAGCAGGAGAATCTGCAAAATGTCGGGGACCGTTACAAGGATCTGGCATCCTTTCACATTATTGATGCGGTAGTCCCTGGTATGAATAGCCCAGACAGACTTGGCATCTTGATCATATCGCTTCGAGAACCGGGCTTGGATCTCGGCCGCAATCTGATTGACGAGAGCTTTTGTGGGAGCAATGTACACAAGTACATCGTCATTGTTGGCTTCGAGGATCTTTTTCATGGCATAGAAAGAGATGAACGTCTTACCAGCCGACGTTGGGGCAACCACGAGTAGACTCTTGTCCTCATCGATAGCATCAAGTACCTTTCTCTGCCACGCATCGGGCTCAAAAGACACACGAGGATCCGGCGCGGAGTCGAAGCTTCGATCGAAGTATGGTCCGCAAGATTCGAGCTGGAATTCAAGGGAAGACTTTCCGGGAGGCAGTAGATCCGTGTTCTTCTCTACATCCAGGAACTCGAATGGCATCTTTCTCTTTGGAAGGGGCTCCGAGAGCTTGTCGACGGGCAGCTTGAAAGACTGCAGAACTCTGGTCACAAGAGTGTGGACTTCTTCAGTCATGGTCAACCTGGCGGTCTCCTGGATTTGGGACCAGAGCATCGCCAGAACAGAGGAGTCTATGCGGATAAAGGTTAGCGTCTTGCAAGAAAAATACTGAAGTGTACAAACAGCAGTGTCACTTACGAGTTATTGTGGCCGGATTATAACGAGCTTGAGTTTGGCGAAGAACGTTGCAGAGATACAGCGAGACTTCCGACCCGATCACAGACAAATGTACTGGACTAAGCCCAAGAGATATTTCTGGACCCGCAAATATCGCTTAACCAGAGATGGCTCTTTTGAGAACTCCTGGCACCTTTCTTTCCAGAAGGTAATGATTGCTGGCGACTTGTCCTGGAACTTGGCCGCCCTGCGTAGTTCTGCCTCTTCAAGAGCCTTTTGCTTGCCACTCTTTTGCACGGGTTTCTTGGGATTGACAGGCAGCTTCTTGCCCTTGTGCACTGGTTGCTTACTAGCGGGCTTGCTTTGCTCGACCGCAGTGCGGACAACAACGGTTTCCGGCTCGATAATTTTCCCAGATACACCGGTAAGACTAGCAGAGTAGGCAATGATGTCGGCCATGAAGCGTTGGTTTCGCCGTCTTGCCTTAAAGTCAAGAGCCTTGGGCGGCTGCTTAGGGTCAATTGGCTTTCTGTTGTGCCAGTGTGTCAGTTCCTTGTGAACTTTGTTCTTAACTGGTGGGGCGGTGCCAGCTTCCGTGCGTAGGTGCACTGAAGTGAGAAACTCGTCCAGTACCGGATGGCTGAAAGGCAATACGGGGAACGACGGTGTGGACTGTTCAGGTTGGCGGTCGGCGTTCTTCAGGCCAGCCTCTCCTCCATTGGCATCTGTCAAATTTGCTGGCAACTGGGCAGTGACGTTGTACCCACAAAGATGCTCGAGTAGCCCACCGAGTTGTTGAAGCTCTTCTTGAAGAGCGCCGGGCAAGTGTATGTTGTCCAGAGAATGGAGCAATGCCAGGTAGAGCCGCCCGTCAAAGAGATCGAACGCGTCCCATGCTGAGTCTGCGAACGGTCCTGAACTCCAGGAGCCAAGAATGCGCTGCGCTGGCTCAGACAAGGAACAAACGAAAGAGTTGGCGGCGCTGCCCGACTCCAGCCCCGAGCCTTGTGGTTCAAAGCTCCGGCCTGTAATACTGCATTGTCTCAGAACAACTACTTGGAGGAGTAGCGCCGTAACCTGTTTTCCAACATCGTTGGCCTCATTATCATTGGACTGTCCAAGCACATGAGCCAATGAATACAGAGATATGATTTCTCGGGCAGTCAGATTGTGCTCCTTGATCAGGACTGCAAGACGATCTCCAATGTTGTCCTCAGCGGGGGAAGCGTCGGGAGACGGAGAAAGGGCATCGCCATTGAGCGATCGCTGCGCTCCTCTAGGAGAGGCAATCGGTAGGAAAACCTTTGAGGCCTTGAACTCCAGATGCTCGACGCAGGCGACATGATATCCTGCCGAATTGATACGGTACAGCGTATGGAGGGGCGTCAGAAGTTCTGGGCCAGCCGTCCACCACGGTGTTGTACCATCGGATCCCAGGACTAGGGCAGGATGATGTTCTTCGAGATATTGCGTGAAAGAATCGCTGTCCAAACTAGGGAAAACAAAGCTGAAAACGGGTTGGTTGCCCGTCTGTGCGTGAGCGAAGTGCTGGATGACGACTTTTCGAGTGAGCTGGTATTTATAGGCCGTCTCGACTGAAGTTTCCGTGGGGATGGATAGTTGATATTCTCGATCGAACCAGAGGACGTGGAAGTTACATCCTCGATCACGCAGCCTCAAGAGGAGAGCCTCAACAGCGTGAACGGCATGGAGAATCTGGAAGCCATCTGTATAGTTAGCACACACATGGTTAGCATTAAATAAACCTCAAGAGATGAGGGCACGGAGGGGGTCAAACACACAGTCAAAGTCGACTTTCATGGAATGGAGACAATGTGCAAGCAGGGCCTCTCCATGAATGGCAAAGAGCTCTTTGCCGGCGAAGTCGCCGACGAGGTCAACCTTTGTAGGGGCCAACAATCGGAGCCAGCTCTTCAACTGATCGCCAGCGTCTGGGTTTCTGCCAGGCGGCTCGATGGGGTTATCGGGAGCAGCCATATTGACTAGATTCGCGGGTTTCGTGCTGTGGAATATCAGATTAGTTGATGGTTGGGAACAACAGTACCTTGGGTGGTGGTACAGAAGGAGGGGGTAACGGAGCTTACTTTGTGAGAAAGTTGTCTGTACGACGAGATCTGGAATGGTCAAGTTGGGTATACGAACTGAAGGCAGAAAGGCGAGTATCTTGTCAGACGAGCTACGAAAAAATGGTGAACTGGGGAAAAGCTGAAGTAATGGAAAGCGGTGGGCATCAATTTCTGCCTGGATGTTTTGGAAAGACCACACGGAAGGTGCGCCTCCCGTCCTAATACCAACCAGCTACTTCCTACCCCTACGACTTACCAAGCATTCACCTCCATGGGTAACACCAATCAGCCCCATATATATGGAGCAGTATGACGGCGATAACAAAAGTGCACAACGAGACTGCCACACTGCTTCGTTGGCCGGTCTCGCATGCCTCAAGCAATCCTCGCAGAAATATCCCATTTCCGTTAGGTTGGCAGGCAATCGCCAACAAACTTACCCTATGCACCCATCCAGACGCCAAACAGAGTAGTACTCTCTTCATGTTTAGAGATGCTAACTGAACTTTCCATTTGAACGTGAAGACCCTGCCTTGGCTGACAACGACAACCGCATAGCGGAGCCCGTACATGGATGTTCAAGATCAACTTCGTACTTCAAGTAACTTTAACTGGAGCAACAAAGATAATATGGGGAAGTTGGGGGGAGCTGTATGCCATTGGCTTAGATCAAGACGAGAGGGTCCCTCGCTGGCCAGCTGCATGTAGCAGTCAGAGTCTGAATTTTCCATTCTGGCAGCTGCCCGTTTGGCAAGTAATGTCAAACAGTCGGCCTCAGTTCCGTGAGGTTATCTCCTGCGCGGTGGAGATGGTCTTTGGACTCCATGATGGGCAGCACATGGTGAGACTTCCTTGAGGAACTGACGTTGGAATTGAAGGCGTACAAGGCCAGTTCTGCTCGCGTTAAGTGTCACCAGCTGACAACGGGCCGAAATGACAGCTTCATGCTGCCAAGAATGCGGGGGAAATAACGCCAAACATGAATCCCATCGTGTTGCCGGTCGTCGCTCGAGGCACCCAGGCCCTGCCATGAGTTGGGGCATCTATGAACTTTGGTCTGACCTTTCGGTCTCTGTTTGCACTTTCTCTACAAAAATTTCACAATCATTTGGATGATGGGTGTCGAATACATGAGGTTGACGTCGGTGTAAGTGTTAAAGGATACCAGGGCCGTGTCTCCACCCCCACATTGTCCGAGGCAGGCAACCACGCGGGACAGATCGGTCCAAACGCACTCTGCTGCCCCTGACACCCAGCGCTGATGGTGCCGCGAAATAACGGACAGGCGCGAAGGATGGAAGCTTGGCCGTCAAGTACTCTCGGCAGAAGAAGTGGAAGCACCAACCGACTGCAACCGCCGACCTGTCTTCTCAAACCGCCCAATTTCCCACGGCTTCGAACTCTGTAGATTCTGCAATGGCTCTCGGCCACCGTCCGCCGACTTCAATTCCAACCCTCTCAGTGTCCGCGCTCGAATGAAACGAACGGCACCATGCCGGTGACCTTGCCTCGATCGCGGTTCCAACGCCAGCTCGTGTCGCGGTCCACCATCCGGAAGTTGATCGCCGCCTTCATTATCTGGGCCATTGTCGAGGCTCAACTCATATACTACCGAGTCGCCCATGCCGAGAGAGACATACAGGCCCAAGCTACGACGCTTCTTAAGCCTACCCGCGTTTACATTGCCAGCTTGCACTGGAACAATGCTGCCATCTTGCGCTCCGACTGGAACAGGGGGGTTGTCGACCTGACCAAGGCTCTGGGAGCAGACAATGTCTTTGTTAGTGTCTACGAGAGCGGTAGCTGGGATGACTCCAAGGGCGCTCTCCGGGAGCTGGACCGCGAGTTGGGCGGACTTGGAGTTCAGAGGCAGATCATACTCGACAAGGAAACTCACAAAGACGCGATAGGCGCACCGCCAGCCGAACATGGATGGATCACCAGCCCTAGTGGTGAGAAGAGGTTAAGAAGAATACCTTACCTGGCTGGCATGCGGAATCTTTCTCTTCAACCATTGCTGGACATGGCAGAGAACGGAACAACGTTCGACTACGTGTTGTTCCTGGGCGACGTGGTGTTCTCGGTGAGATTTGGTGGTCACTTATGCCTGTCTTCGTAACTCCTCGCTAACATTAGTCTTCTTCCAGGTCCCTGATATCGTGGCTCTGTTAAACACAAACGACGGCCAATACGCTGCAGCATGCTCGCTCGACTTCAGCAAGCCGCCTCACTTCTACGACACCTTTGCCCTGCGAGATTCGGGCGGCCATGAATACGCCACCCAGACCTGGCCGTACTTCCGGTCCGCCAACTCGAGAAAGGCGATGCTACGTGGTGCTCCTGTGCCAGTATCCAGCTGTTGGAACGGGATTGTAGCAATGCACCCGTCCGTGTTTACGGGAGTCAAGGGCCTCAAATTCCGAGGGATCGACGACACACTGGCTGCATACCACTTGGAGGGCTCCGAGTGCTGCCTCATCCATGCGGACAATCCGGCATCGCGTACCAGGGGTGTCTTCCTTAACCCCAATGTTCGGGTGGGATATTCCAGAAAGGCGTACGACGCGGTACATCCACCAGGAGGCTGGCTTTCTCTGTCGCAAGTCTTTTCCGGTTTGTGGAAGAACAGGGCCGCCAGATGGTTCCAGACTCCGCTTTTCAAGGAGTTGCAAGTTCGCTGGCGCATTCGCAAGTGGGCAGAGAAAGAGGAAGGTCGTGAGGAACCCGGACCCTTTTGCCTCATCAATGAGATGCAGGTCATTGTCCACAACGGATGGGCCCATTTATAGGTACATGGTAGAGGACTTCTTGGGTAGATAAATCCTGATCATTTCACGTTCCTGTTCACCCACGTGGCGAGCGACGGCATTGACCGATCGGAAGCCTCTCTCCAGAACAGTCAACAGGACCCTCTGTTTTGAAGACTGCCCCTTGGCTAATTGTCTGTCTTTTCAAGGTTCTCGGCTGTTGTTTGTTGTTTACTGCTAGCTCCTGTGGGTGTGGGCCGTACCTCGTCGACGACATCATGATATCACCACCGTGTTCTCCGATTGGATACGGGGCAAATCCCCCACCAGTGCCACCAACTTTGAACATGCATGCAACTGGATACGATGCAGTCGTTACCTTGTTGCTCAACACAACGGTCTCACGATGCACAACATCAACTTTGACAATAAACAAGCTTTTTTTGGTCGACTAGTCTCTTCTCGGCTCGAGTTCCGACAAGACGATCGCTCCCACCCCGCGGATCGCGACATCTGGCAAGCGATTCTGACCAGAGACATCCAGATCTGGCCATCGGATGTCCACTAAAATCCCAAACACAATGCACACGACTCGATCAACGGCGTCACTATTAATGGTCGTGGGGGTATAGGCAAAGAGGGGTATCATATTTGACCATCTCCCCTCCCGACAGCGGGCTGTGTCCCTTCTCTGTCTTCTCCGTTAGCCATCAGAGATCCGACCAACAGCACCCAAGTCACGGCTCACTTTCCATCATGGCGCCCGCAGAACCAAACGCAATCCCATTTCGCCCAAAGGGCGAGATACCCTATTTCGAGGAGGAGAGGGAAGGTTGGAAGGGATACATTGAATGGGAAAAGCACCCCGAGAAGAAGAAGCAGGTGGAGGAGGTACTGAAACAATATGACTTTCCCGACCCTCCAGAGTTTCAGTTCGTCCCACTGCCGAAGACCAACCCGATCTTGACTGGAGAGCGGTTCAAACAATACCACTATGCTACAGGGCTCGGCCATCTCGTCGACATCAGCTGGCAGTACGTGCTCAAGGAAAAGGCCGCGGACATGACGCATGTTCTCCAGTTTCCCTACAACGGAGAACCCCCCCGGAGTAAGTCTGCTGGCGTCCATCATCCGTGTCGAGAGAAAAATGCCTTATCTAACCAAGAGCTTCGCTACATCCAGGACCGCCTTGTTTCCACTGAGATCACCCGCAACGAAGACTTCTTCGTCCGCAACCATGGCGGTGTTCCCGAAATCGATCCTGAGAAGTACTACCTCGAAATCGAAGGCCTCGTCAAGAACCCCCAGCGCCTCACCCTTAAGGACCTGCAGGACGAATCGAAATTCCCTCGCCAGACCAACGTTGTCAGTCTCCAATGCTCCGGCACTCGCCGCCTTGAACAAATCCACCAATATCCCGGTGATGGCGACGAGCTCATCAACGCTCCCTGGGCCGAAGGCGCCATCGGTGCCGCCCGCTGGACCGGTGTCTCTCTCAAAAAAGTGATCAAGTATTGCGGTGGGTTGAAGGATGACGCCATGCATATCGAGCTTTTCGGTGCCGATACCTACTTCAAGAAGGGCAAGGTCTACAACTACGTCGTGTCCGTTCCCTGGCGCAAGGTCAAGATCAACGAAGTGTTACTGGCCTGGGAGATGAACGGCGAGCCGCTGCCCAAGCTCCACGGTTTCCCCCTCCGCGCGGTCGTCTTCGGCTACATTGGCGCCAGAAGCTGCAAGTGGCTGTACAAGATCCGCGGTATCAAGGACCCGAGCGAGGCGCCCGTCCAGAGAAAGGAGTACCTCTACTATACGCCCCAGATCGGCAAGCAGAACGCCTTGTACAGCAACGGCTTCTCGATCCAGGACATGCCTGTGTCTTCGGCGATTATCTCACCCAAGGACATGGATGTCATCACACACGACGGAAAGGTCAAGCTGAAGGGCTGGGCGTACTCGGGTGGTGGACACTGGCCGATTCGGGTGGAGGTTAGTCCCGATGGAGGGGCCATCTGGTATGAAGTGCCGACGGAGAATATGTCGACTAAGTATTACTATGCTTGGCGACTGTGGGAGATCGAGTTGCCCCTTGATCCTGAGGGTTGGCTGGAGTTTTGCGTGAGGACGTGGGATAGCGCGTTGAACACGCAGCCCACATACGTCAGATCTGCCTGGTGAGTTGTTATCCTTCCCCTACTTTGTCTGAAAGAAACTAACCAAGCGTCAAAAATGCAGGAACTGGGATTTGCACGTTACTTCCTCTTGTCATCGTATCAAGATTTACAGCATCAACCGCTCAAAGCCGGCTACCGCAGCCCGTCTGAAGGCCTTGGAAGAGAATGGCTTATCGATCACGCCCATCACGAAACCTTTGGCACTCGAACTCGAGACGGACGAGCAATACCAGGCGTCTATGGGAGAGCAACATGGACGGGAACCTCTTGAGTAAGGAAGTGTGGTAGTCTATGATACGGTGGGCGTCTAGAGTTGGGGAGCCGTTTTATGCGAACTTATATGCATGTCATCTTGCGTTGTTGAACTTTATATTTTTTTTAAATTTTTTTTACAAAACCTGTACTGAAGTCTCCATTGATAGTTCCAGCTCAAGGACACGGTGGACGTTGAGTTCATGGCCCACGCTTCCTACAGCTGCACGTTTGTCTCACTGACAACATTCAAGAACCTTGGTGTTGGGGCATCGGTATTGCTGCCCCATGGAACCATCGATTGTCGAGCCACGGATCATGATCCCGGACGAACAGCGAGCAAAAAGAAGGGCTCTTGAAAACACCAAGGGACCCCAGGCGATGGATGGATCAATAAACCCACCACAACAACAGCAAAAAGCCCAACGTGGGACTCGAACCCACAGCCTCAAGATTGCTGATCTCGAATGAGAATAGAAGTCTTGCGCGCTACCGATTGCGCCAGCCGGGCAAGATTGTTGTTTTGGTCGCTTATTTTCTGAGGTTATATTGGAAGGTTCTTTCGCGCTTTGACATGATTTTGGGAACAACGACGGGTTTTTGCGCAACAGGTGAAAAGACCATAAAACCTCCCTCTCCGTATCCTCTCCAGCAAATCCTCAATCTGAGAATCTTCTCTTGAACATGATTTTGTTTGGAATTTTCCAAGGACTTGATGAAAAGGGGAAAACTGTCAGTGTGTCTGACTGTTGTTTCCCAAGGACAAACACCTGACTCTGACATCGTACATCAATCTACAATGCTCCCTCCCACCTTCTGGCGCCCAAATATTGTTTCCATCTATCGAAGGAGATTTATTGATTGACCATAAAAGGCAGTACGATATTGCTATCATGTGAAGAGATCCTGGGGTGCCTTCGCAACAAATAACTCGAAACACTCAGCATGAAATCTCTGCGTGCTAGCAACGTGGTGGAGCTGGCACTGTGCCAGTCTGGCTGTGTCTTAAGTGTAACATAAGGCTAAGAAAACTAATTAAGCGGGTTTAGCTCAGTTGGGAGAGCGTCAGACTGAAGTCCACTTCACTCACAAATCTGAAGGTCGTGTGTTCGATCCACACAAACCGCATCTCTTTTTGCATTTTTCTACTTCTCTCTTTTTTTTTGTGTTTTGTTTGTTCTGTCTGTCCTATTTTATCTATATGTATGGTATGCTCCTTCTTCCTGTTCGTCTTGTTCTGATTTGTTTCGCTACGTTCTTTTTGCTCGCGGGTTTTTTTGTTCTTTTCATCTTGGCTGTTTGTTGCCATTCCTTATAGATCGCGCTGGCGAAAAGTTTCCGAAGAAGTTTGTGATATTTTTGCATGTGATTTCTCCTCTCCTCGGATATTGTTAATGACGTCGAGTGCGTCGAGACTATTGAAGTTGAAGATGCCAGAATAGGAGGAAACGAAGTGAGAAGGGTTGCATCATCATACTGATGAAGACTTCGTGTAATTCATTTCTAAGCAGACTTCGGAGACCTTCAGCTGGTGAGAGTATGGCGTTGTTTGTGATCTTGGCTGACTGCGTGGCCCATTCAATCCGTTCCTGGCTTCTGTCTGGACTTTCCTTTTTCATACTTCATCCTTGGTGACAGGTGGGACGAATGATGATCATGTTCCTGGAAGAGATAAGCGTAGATCTCCTAGAACCAAGATGGTGATTTGCAGGAATCTGGAAAATGTCAACCTTACGTGAGACTCCAGTAACGTCGATCACAGAAAAAAAGAAACTTCTCCCACAACCTCGCGCAAAAATTGCCGAATTAGGACGAGAAGTTGTTGCGCAGGCTTCAATATTTTCGATAAATTGAGTGGCATGGCTTGGTGACTGCAACCTTCCCCGGGTTTTCGGCCATGATCAACGTCACTTCAACTCGGCATGTTGCGGCCATGTGAAAAGAGCCCCAACCCACCGACACACCTGCCGGATACGTATAGTAAAGTTCCGGCGTATGACACTAATGTAGAAAAGTCCAAGAAGAGGGGCTCGTAAAACAGGAAAGGATTCACGGAGATGTGAGCTGTGGTGTTTGTCGGTGGGCCTCGTTACCGATTCCGAAAACCCACCCCTTTCCGTGTAGGGAGAGTGCGAAGTGCAAAACCGTGGTTGTGGGATTCTGAATACCAAGAGATCGACCAAGGGACTAGGAAAATGAGGAGCGATCGATGCCATCGACGGTTTAGCTTCACAGTCAGCAAGCTAGTATGGAGCTCAGGTCACTAGGATGTCTGGAGATCCATAGACCTAGGGACCCAGGGGCCATGGGTATATATACGACCCGGTGGTCTCCTCAAGCCTGGTTGCTGGACTTGAGTTCGACAAGTCATTCTCACTCCGCAGATTACGGGACCCCCAGGGTCGTCGAGCCTTGCTAAGATGATCCTCACCTCTAAAACTGCGGTGCTCTTCAGCACCGTCACTTTGTTCGCTCAAGTCGCTTTCGGTCTTCCCACCACCTCCGGACCGGAGCGCCACAACAGGGCCCGGGCAGTCAGACAGCTCTCTTACACAAACAAGACCAGCACATTCCGCAACGCTCCGGATAGCGAATCTGACCTCCAAAGCCGACTGGACAGCATCTGGGACAGCACGGCTGGCTCAAGCACCACCGGCACTTTCTGGGACAAGGTCGTCCTCCAGGCACACCAGAACATCTTGCCTGGCCAAGGCATCGACATCAACTACATCGATGACCCCAATAGCATAACCGATGTTCTGGTCGGCCCAACCGATCCCCGCGACAGCTTCAGCAACCTGAACAACCCCGACGTGCCCGGGGTTCACTACCCCCGTTTCTCGGATGTGGATCCCCTTTACACCATCTCCGAGGCGGGCCTTCGCGCCGCCATCTACCTACCACCAGGCTTCACCGCGTCCAGCAACCGCCAAGTAGTCCTCTTCGTCCCCGGCACCGGCTCCTACGGGCACGAAGCCTTCGGCCCCAACCTGCTGAAAGTCATTACCGAATCCGGCGCCGCCGACTACCGTCTGGCTCAACGTGCCCGGCGCTATGCTGAACGACGTGCAATCCAACGCCGAGTACATCGCCTACGCCATCAGCTACGTCAAGGCTTTGATCGGCGACGGCCGCGAGCTGAACGTCATCGGCTGGTCACAGGGAAACCTGGCCACGCAGTGGGTGTTCACGTACTGGCCGAGCACAAGCCCCAAAGTGCGCCAGCTGATTTCCGTCAGCCCGGATTTCCACGGTACCGCTTTGGCCAACGGGCTCTGCTTGAACGCAGGAAACCTCACAAATGGTATTGAGGAGGGATTACCCTGCGCGCCGTCGGTGCTGCAGCAGGAGTATAACTCCAACTTGATCAGCACGCTGCGGGCGGCCGGTGGTGGCGACGCGTATGTCCCTACTACCTCGTTCTGGTCGAGTCTCTTTGACGAAATTGTGCAGCCGCAGATTGGTCTGACGGCGTCAGCGAGGATTGGCAACGCGCGTAGGAAGGGCGTGACGAATGTCGAGGTGCAGACAGTCTGTGGACTGTCGCCGGGCGGTGGGTTTTACGGCCATGCGAGCCTGTTGTCGCATCCGCTTGTTGCGGCGCTGACGCTCGACGCGTTGAAGAATGGAGGGCCAGCGAGCTTGGGGAGGATTGCGTCTGATATTCGTGATATTTGTAAGAATGTCCTCGCGCCGGGGTTGGACGGAGCGGACGGAGCGCAGACAGCGGGGGCCATTGTTCTTGCAGGAGTGAGGTTGATTGCCTATCCCTCCAAGTTGAAGGAGGAGCCCGCCTTGAGAGCGTATGCAGCTTGATTCATCATAGCTCGGGACGTGGGAAGAAGCTGGAAGATGATGAGTAGCGTAGTAATCGTAATACTAACTGGATGGTTTGGAGAAAATTACCATATGTTCAATGCTGTGACAATAAATACCGGTACCGTACCTACCCCGCCGCAGCATGCACTGCAGACCGACATGCAACATCCCGAGTCCGTACGCAACCCTGGCAACCTTAATACATCATTGTTTTCACATAAAAAGAAAAATCTCAAGATGTTCAGTTTTGCTCGCAGTATTAAAAAGAAGATATCCGCGAGCCAAAAAAATGGCCAGAAAGGATAAAAGGCGAAAAAAAACAATGGACTATACCGGATTTGAACCGATGACCTTTCACAGTTGCATCTGTACGAAACATTGCGAAGCGAAAATCATACCCCTAGACCAATAGCCCTTGTATTGTTATTAAGTCGGTGCAAAATCAGCCCTTATGTACCCATAAGACCTCTGGGGTGCAGCACAACTTCCTTTTCCAGACGAAGGAAAGAAGACAAGACACGCCACTGATCATAACCGTTCCAGGAGTTTTCGCATATAGGCGATGCCCAAGTAGGAGTATAGATCTACAGATGGTCACCCCCGCCAGTCAATCTACTGTATACCTTCTGCTATTAGTCGCCCCTTCAACGTACACGCCCATCCCGTCCATCCCGCCTGGGTTCTCCCTAATATCTCGGGGTTTACAAACCTCATTTACACAGACATTATCATGACCTTACGGGGTACCACTATTGACCCGCCTTTCCGTGTCACGGTACTTCCATGCTTGGGCTACCGAAGTTATTGTGAAGGTAAACCGAACATGGACAGCTCAATGCCATGGCTAGCTTTGGGTAAGAATGGCCCGTTACAAGCCTTTAACGAGGATCACGATGGCTTCAAAACACATTGCACGGAGTGTATGTGGTGGTTTTACTTCCCGGAATTACCTATAAGTTGATGGTCCAAAAGTATAAGAAAGACACTTTGATGCGCAAAAGGGTATAATCATGGGGCAATGTATCTGTCATTGTTCTTTTTCTAAACCTTTCACTCCTAGCACGGTGGTAGACTGTGCAACGATGGCATGGACGATACCGTAGAGGCCTTCAAGCCATCAGCGTGACGCTTTGGTTTTCTCGTTTCCCCGGTAAATCACATCCTCTGTGCATTATTATCTCACATCTTCTGCCCGGGTAATGCATTGCTCGCCGAACCGCGCCATAATAACTTTCAACAGCATCCTAGAACCCTATATGAACAACGCTGTTCTCATACTGTATTTTGTACACTGCTCAGCCAAACCAAACCGCCAAAAAGCAAAACAAACCAAAAACTATGATCAAAAGTCCACTCCGTATCAAGGTAACTCGGAGGAATTAATTAGAGATCTCGCTCAGAGTAGAACTCGGCCGTCTCGAAACAGGAGATGCATATGATTTGGTCTGCGGCGACTCATCTGCAGGTGAAGTCGCAGGAGTTTCGCCGTCCAAATCAGAAGAAGTTGATGACTTGACGCGCACTGGTATATCTTCGTATTCCGTCTAGGAAGCGCCGCCGCCGTCGGAGTCTGGATTGGACCCATCTGGCGAATCTTCAGCTACCCATGGGCCTCCAAACTTCACCGGCCAAAGATCCTCCATCAAGGTAGCAGAAACGATTTCGATGTCTTTGATCAGGCCTTCACCAAAGCCGCCCCACAAATTCTCAACGCCGCCGTCGGGGAAAGCTGTTTCCTCTGGTAGTTCCTCAATGTCGTAAGGTGAGATAAAAGCATGACCATCTCCATCATGCGCCTGACACCACTGTGGCCAAGAGTTAAGAAACCCTTCCTTGTTAGGAGTAATGGTGAATTTGAAGCAGTAGTCGAGATAATCGCATAAGGCCGAGATGTGGTAAGGGTAAATTTTGACTCCCAGCAAATTTACAAGAACGAAGGTTCCGTAGTGACAGGATGCTGCCTGATAATCCTCTTGCTTCAACAATCGAATATTTTCCAAGCGCTGCTGATCTGCCGCATCGAATTGGAAATTCAGGTAGCGGAGGTTGATTGGCTTTTCGATTTTCCTCTTCTCAATAATCCACCGCCGGTCGTTGTCGGCACGTGTAATCCATGGCAGACCAAGAAGAAAGGGAATGGTACAGCCGAACATCTTCTCATGCCCTTCATAGCGCAATTCCCTTCTCAACACCTGAACCGGTTGCATGCTCTCTATTTTATGATCAGCCCCATACGCAAGATTGAAGAATGGGTTGTTAAAGTCGGTGATCTTGATACCGGGTACCGAAGGTAGGTTGTTGCGACTGGGATCGGGGCTGTACAATCCGACATCCTCGAACTTCAATTTGTCCAGTGCAAACACAATGTCACGGCCGGTAACATCTTCGAGGTTGAGGGACGGTGTTCGTTCAGGAGACCATGACAGTGCCGCAATGACCACCACCCCGGGAAGCAAGGAGGTGAGACCTTTGGTGAGGACAGCCAAGGATTGATTGACATCCTGTGGAAAGAACATACCGTCCTGGCTATAGGATGCCACCAACACGAAGTTGCTCATCGTGGTCACGGGGACATCTTTTGGGGTGGTAATTTTGAGCTCTTGGCGAAACGTGTGCAGACCTCCTTGGGACTTCCAATATTCGAAAATATCCAGATTCGTGAGAGAAAGATATGATGAAACCTCATCAATTTCTTGGAGCAGACCCTAACAGCAGGCTGGATTGGTTCGGTTCCTCACTGGAAAGTAAACAACGCGGCGAAAACTAGGACGTGGGCGTTGGCTGTGTTCGAATTGACGGCAAAGAGGTGACTGGGTCGAATGTATATTCTCAAACTCCATAACGTGGGAGCTAGAGCACCACCCAATCCCTGACTTGTCGCCGCAATGCATACACATGTAGTAAGCTGGTTTGTCGCACATGACGCACAAATCGGTGACTTTGGGGGGTGATGGATCCTCGGGTATTAAAAGATTTCTGATTTCAATGACGAACTCCGATTCAACATATGGATTGAGCCATGTCGCACTTGAAGGGTAGTTGGGAGTGCTGCTCCAGGAATCGTCAGAGATATATTCAGAGGTACTTTCCTCGTCAGCGGCGTATCCGTCAGCGGGGTGCGCTGATTCGTCTTCCATTTTGTTCTCTCCAAGGAAAGAAGATCGAACAGCCGTTTTGACACGCTTTCTGCTGACATGTGTATTCGAAGCGCTGGAGGCGCCATCCACATCCCTAGACTTATTGTTTGGCTGTGATGGCGGCAGTGGTTTGCATTTGCGTCTGCTATCGTCGTTTTGGCTCTCGACAGGAACAGAGCTCTCGACAGGAACAGAGGGAGGTGACTCGGATGGTGACTCGGATGGTGACTCGGGTGGTGTGGGAAGCATGCTTGAGACACGCCCGACACTTCAGCGGGTACCGTGTGAGACCTAAGGATAGGTAGATATTGGAACCGAAAAGTTGGATTATTGTCTGTAGCAAGCCTTTGCCTAGATGAAAGAATGTGCAAGTGGAATGTCTGAAATGATTTTGAGCAGAGACCCAAATGTGGCAAAGCTGAGTCGGAAAGATTGGACAACAGAAGAAGGGGAAAGGATGAAGTGACGATGGATGAATTCCCTGGTTTGATAGCTTGTGCCTTGACTGCCCGATTTGTACACGTACCTACCGCCATAGGCCGCGTACCTTTCTTCTTCAAGATGCCCAATTGTGAGCTCCTTCCTGAACGCCCCTCTGTTGTGTCTAGGGGGCGGGTGATTCAGTAATTGGTTGGTGGGTCCTGACAAACTGGAAGGAGATAGGAAAGGAAGGAGCCATGTGCTATATGCTGGATACCTTGATAGACACCTCTCGGGTATATCCGAGCACACTTTTTGACCGATTGATCGCAAGAATACCCATGTTCCCCTGGCAAAGTCGCTTCATTTGTTCTTTTCTTTTCCATTAACTTTTTGTCTGTCTGAGTCCTCGAGTAGCTCTTCTTCTCGTCCTGAAGTGAAAACATTCTTGGAGCCATCCACGTACTTTCGTTTGTTCACGGCATTCCCACCTCCCCTCTGCATCCACTTCCATCTGCTGACTTATTTCGTCTCATACTCGTTCTTTCCTACCGGCGCGATGGAAAGAAATAGGCACTCATCAAGCGGCACGACCGCCTTCTCGGGCGCGTCGACCATGGAGTCGGACCCGACGAGTTTCCCCGAGATGGAAGGAGAGTATCCCTGCCTCCCAAATCTCTGGATCTGCGGTGTGGATCTCACAGATGACCAAGAGCTCATCATGGAACATCTAATCGAACACCTCAATCATCCTCGCATACTGTCATCTGAGGCGACTGCTGACGCAGTTTATAGTCTGATGCCACTCAAGACTGTCCCAGAAGGTAACGGACCGTCTGACACGCTGGCGCGTCCACTATCCTCCAACAGCATGGAGTTGAGACACCCAGCCGCCAGCGTGATGAGAGAGTTTTGGTGCATCTTTGACGTCGCAAAGAATGTACCCCATTGGCATCCTGCCCAGGAGAGACTTCAGAACCTCATCAAGAAGCTGGCAGACCTCTACGAGACAGATGCGGAGGTTACAAAGAAGGAGTGGACGAGCCGTGAGAACGATGGCCGGGGAACAAATGTCTGTGCTGCACCTCCCTTCGCGTCTCTTCCTCCTCTTCCGTCCTTTCCGCACACACGTATCATCGATTGATGGCTGACACTTCTTCCCGTTATTTAGCCCTCTTCTCATCGCATATGGTGGGACCCCTTGCCCTACTTCTTGGACTCTCTCTTCAAGTTTGTCCTACGTTGGTTCCCCTCCCCTCAACTCCCTGGCAGTCCCTCTCCATGAGCAGAATCTGACTAATGTCTGAACCGTCAACAGCCTACCCGCGTGACGAAAGAGATCAGGATGTCATGTGGCACTGGACCAACTTCTCTTGGTTCCAAGCTCGAACTGCTGCTACCGCCCCCCACAGCATCATTCCCGCCGCCACGTGGGTGTTGCGCGCCGCTCTCGAAGATTTTCACCCCGTCACCATCGAACAATAGGAATGTTTCATGGCATCGGCTGCGGAGTGGCTGAAATTTGCTGCACATCTCTTGTGGCAGCAAGCGCTCGAGTGGGACAACCCCACCAGCAGTAAGCACGGGAAGAACTCGGCCTACCTCTGGGACTGGAGCCCGCCAACCGGTGTCATGTACGGAGGTGAGCCAGGAATGCACATGGATCGGTGGAAGTATTGGTACGCCACATTCCGCACCATCATCAACAGATGCAGCCAACTGGAGGAAGCAAAGCTTGTGCTTCATTATGCGCAGATATCGATGGCTGCCATGAACCGAGCTATGGGGGTGCCAGAGTCTACCACGGCTGGAGCCAACCAACCAAACGAGTTAACAGGCGAAGTAACTGGCTATCTGACTGTTGAACATCTCATTGCGGAGGGTACTACTGGTCTTTGCCTTGGTGATTCCGGTACTTCCGGATATGACGCTATTGGCGACGTGGTTGAGGGTTTTGATGGCCTCACCCTTGAGGCTACTGTGTACAAAGAACAGGTTGTGTTATACGAAACCACTTCTGACAAGAAAGCAGATACAAAGAAGTGGTTGCTAAGGGCAAACAGGTCATCACGAGCGAAGCTTTCATCTGACAGATCCGGTGCGATATTGGGACCTTCAGACAGGAGTATGATTCTGTTGAAGATTGTCGGTTATTCTGTGTGTCTTCTCCTTTCTCTCCCTGGGTTCTGATTCCTCTCTTGGGTGATTTTCTTTCAAATTTGGTTCTCCTTTGGCGTGGTCTCAACTCTTTGAAGTCAAAGTCTTGTATAGGACAGGGCAGGTATCCAAGCAGATAGCTGTCTCTTTTCCCAGTTTAGCCCATGGCTCTTATAGTCATCAACACCATAGATATCTTTGCTTTATCCAAATGCCAGACTTTAATCACGGATTCGTGACGGTAAGGAAGATAAGTCACTCCTCACTCGCAACACACCCAATTCATCCTCAACCACAACTCTTAAAACCCTCCAGTCCCCTGAACCCTCTTCACCGCGCCCACCGCCCCCTTGGCCCACCTCTTCATCCTCCCACCGGGGTCAACACCAATGACCCCATCCGCCTCTTTCCCCTCCGCATCTAGCCACATTCCTTTCTCCTTATCCAACGCCCCATAGATCGCCGTGTTCTGGTTCCTTCTAACCCCCTCCATCCACGTCCCGCAAACCTCCTCGCTATCAATCATCACATTGATTTCCTGGCTATGAAACCAGCTCTGCGTGTCCTGGTTGCCATTCCCCATGATCCCCACGCGCCCATCCACAACCATCAACTTGATATGACAGCTCCTCAAACCCTTAGACTGCACCAATGGTTTGGTCTGGTCTTTTCCCACGTACCAGTAGTAATGCAGATTATTTTTGGTCTCGGGAGACAAGGATGAGTACAGCCGGTGCGCAATCATTTCGTTGTGGCCGTTCTGGTGGGGAAGCAGTTCGCCCGCATCGTTGTACCCCAGACATACGTAACAAATGACTTGGACGCCGCGGTTGCAGGCATGGATAATGGCGGGTAGCAAGGGAGCAGCGTTCAGCGTCGGGGTCTGGATGAAGACGGAGTGGGTGGCGTTGCGGAGGGCCGAGAGCCAGGCGGCATTCTGCGGGTTCGAAACGGAGGAGTGGTTGGGCGGTCCGTAGGGGGCGCGGTTGACTAGGGCCATGGGAACGAGCTCGGGATTTTGTTGTCCTTTTTCTTGAAAGGAGGTTTGGTGGCGAGGAAGAAATCGGTAAGGGGTCATTTTGTTGTCTGAATTGTTGACTGGATCAGGTGCAAGCGGGTCGGCGGTGAAGTTTGGATTTCGAGTGTGGTTGAGGAGACGTGTGACAGCTTGGAGGTGCGTTTCGATAACATTATTATCCGGATCGAATTTCGGTGCCATCGAGGCTTGGATACGGGTGACTTCCGCGGGGAGGGAGGTATCGTAGTGAGGCTCTTCAATCGTATGCTGTGGAACGTTAGGAGTAACCGTCGGTTGCGTAGTCGTCCCTGTGGTAGGTGGTTCCTCGGTTACAGCCAGACTGTTTCTGCTTACTCCCGCTTGTGTTGAAAGACCAAGCACACCCATCATTTCCGTCCTCTCCCCACTCACTTGATTACATGAATCCGTAGCCGGCGAATTCAAACACGGCATCGTAGGCTCCAAGTGTTTGTGCCAACTGATCATCGCCATATCCCAAAGCGAATCCACCACGGGTCCCTCCAAATGCGTAGCCATCTCTAGATTATCATTGTCCTGGATATTATTGCTTTGTAGTATTGCCACACGTCGGTCCACAACCATGTATTTGGCATGGAACGTGCCCATGATGGGCGTGTGGAAATTCATTACCTGCATGTCGATGAAGGGGATCTCGTCCGGATGCGGAAGGCCGATGGTGGAGGCGTTGGTATAGGTATCTGGGGCAACGATCTGGTGTCGGGAGAGGAACTGTTTGGGGGTGCCCCGGTCATAGAGGATTTTGAGCACTATTTTCTTTCTTCGTGGTGGAGAGCTCGAGGAGAAGGATGCTTCGAATTCGGCGGCAAGACGCTTATTGAGGTCCCTGATGGCGATGGTCAGGTAAGTTGAGGCCACGCTAGATTGCCAGTAGTTTGTCGCTAGGAAGATTTCATGTTCGGCGCGGTAGATCAGGTTGGCCATGTGGCGGGCTATGTCAGGAATGCTGTGCGGTGCGATGGAAGATGGTTAGTGGACACAAACGAACGGCCCTTGGAAGAGGTGTTGTAAATTTAGGGATGATGGGTTGATTCAAGGCTTTACTTACACGGAAATTATCGTCAACGGAACGGTACCGCATGTACCCAACAGCGGCGGACTGACCATACCCCTAAGGGGATCATCGTCAAGTGTGCAAAGAGCATCATGATATATCTGTCACGAAAATCGTCAGCGTCGATCTCCCATATATCAACCTCATCAAAATCGCAGTAACCACAGTACCTGCAAAAACAAACCACTCGGCCTCTTCCCTCCCCACTTCCCACACTTCGCTGCCCGATCGAGATGTTCATGGGCCGAAGTAGGCGAGTGAGGTGGTGTAGGTGGTGAATTGTAGTAGTAAGCGGAGGCGGTTGAACCCTGATGACCACCGGGATTGTTCAAGTGCTCCTTTTCCTCACTACCGCTGATACTGTACCTGTACTCTTCCTCGTTTTCCTCCTCCTCCTCCTCCTCCTCCTCCGATGAGTTCCCCCCTAGATGTCTCTTCTTCAAGGCATGCCGGCCGAAAAGTTTGTTCCAGGCATCGTGGGGAGAAAGACTGGGATCTTTGGCGAGGAGAGAAGAGACTGTTTCAAAGGAGTTGCAGAGGTCGAAGACGCGGTCCGAGATGTGATCTGGGAATTTGGATTTGGTCATCACGGTGGGTCAGGGAGGTGTCAATCACCCGTGAAGATCTGTAACTTTTTGTGGATGTTGAAATGGATGTAATGTAGTTATTGTGATGGTCAAAGCAAAAATGAGGACGATGATTGTAGGAGCGACGTCCTCAACTGGAGATTCTAGGTTGATTTCCGGGAGTAGCAAGGGTATAGGTAGGTGATGAAAGTGGTTATTCAGCTATGGGCAGCTGTCATGAACTCATGATGAATGAATTGACTCAGTTACAAAGTTAACGCTCAGAGCTTTTCTACTTATGACACGGACGCTGCAAGTGCCAACTGTGCCTTCTTCTGCATGTCTAATACCAGCATTTGGATGATGCCCGGGCCCAGATCGAGATGTGAAGTGACGGCAGCCGAGAGGCCTGAGAACCTTGTTGGCTCGAGCGCCAAGAATCTTGGTAAAGTACATCCGTATTACATAGGAAGGGGCATTTGGATAAACTTGCTTCCAGAATTTGTCCAGAACACATATCTCAGAAAAGCTAATGAAAAGCTCAAGAAGATTGGGATGCCCATCTCCAATTCCTCCCAGTTAAGGTTTTGCTGTCAGGGACGATTACCCGTCTTAAAGTCTAAAAGTCTTTGCCAACACTTGTTGATGACGTCAGCGGTCGGGTGGGCGGTTTCGATCGGAAGTCGGCCCTAGTCGCGGGGAAGTGAGCAATGCAAAGCATTATAGCAAAGAGCCAACTCAGAAGAAGCGTCCTCAATGTATTTGCTAATATTACTGTGCTGAAGACGAATACACGCAACTCTCTTGATGCGATGCAATTTGGTAGTGAACGAGGTTGTGTCGGGGGTGGAAAGCCAAGCTTTAGAACAATCTGCGGACACCGCGGAGTGGCTTGACGCCTGCACCAGACAATTGTCAATCATGTTCATCCTATCTTATCTGCCATTATTCATAACCATTCATAACCCAAGAATCATAAATATCCCAAAAAAAAATAAAAAAAATACGCTGTAATCCCCAATAGGGCGGCGCGATAAAATGTTGACCTAATGCCTACTGCAATACCCCTTTAAAGATCACTATGCTTAGCACCCTTCTCCAACTTGGCAAAGTCGGCAAAGGCCAGCTCATAGGCAAAGGCCAGGGTCATGCGCGCGTGTTGGAGCATGTGATCGAACGAGAGATACTTGATGAGGTCGTCGGTAGTATGAATGTGATTGTCGGAGTACTCAAAGGCAGACTCGATGACGAAGGCGGAAGGGTAACCAGCCTTGGAAGCAGAAGCGTGGTCAGAGCAGGCATATCCGCACTTGGTCTCGACGTAAGGGATATCGCAGTACTCGACGATAACCTTCTTGATGAAATCAGTCAGGTTGGGGTCGACATAGTCAACGATGACACCGACACTCTCCACCTCGCCGGCCTGGAGGGTGCGGGTAACGAAGCCAGTCATGTCCTGCTGGAGCATGGCCTTTACGTCCCTGTGGGCCTTTTCGTAGGTAGTGAAGACAGCTTGGCTGCCAAGAAGGCCACCCTCCTCAGCGCTGTACCAGTGGAACTCGATGGTGTTTTCGTGGTTACCCTTGAGAATATCCTCGGACTGGAGGAGAACACGGAAAGCCTCCAGGATGGTGACGGTACCGCTGCCATCGTCATCAGCGCCAGGGGCAGCGAGAATGGAAGGGAGCCAAAGGTTGATCGAGTCCTGGTGCGCGCCGATAACAACGGTGGCATTGGTCTTGCCGGGAATGGTAGCAATGATGCTGTTTTGGCCCCAAGCGTGCTCGAAGTGGCGGGCAGTAACGATGTCGTCCGCGCCAGCCTCCTTGATGGTGTCACGAACTTGCTTGAGAAGCCATTCGCTCGATTGACGTCCGCTCTCGGACTATTGACATACCGAGGTTAGTTAACCATATTGCGAGCTGGGAACTGCCGTGAAACCATGCGACGCGCACATACCTTGTAATACCGCGTGTGGAAAGAGGTGAAGGTTGTCAAGTGATCCTCCATCTCGGTCTTGGACAGGTTCTTGAGCAATGGCTCAAGGTCCTTCTTGTGGGTCGGCTTCTCTGGGAAGACGCTCTTCTTGTGAGGGCGCTTGTTGAAAGTACCGAGCTCGGCATGGTCGGTGATGTCGAAGAATTTCTGGCCATTCTGTAGGCGAACATCTATTAGCATTTCGTCCGATTATCCCCATCCGCGACAAAGTTAACATACCCGTCTGAGTTCCCACTTCTCGTCCTCTGTAACCCATTTTGTGTTTCCGGGCGAGAGCTCAATGTGATACTTCTCGGTCGACTTGGGCTCCTCGGGAATGCCATCGGGGAAGAGCATGACGTGATTCGGTTCCGCCTTCTCAACGAAGCGGGCGCTTGCCGCGGGGAGCAGCAGCGCAAGAAGCGATGCGTTTGAGATCTTCATGGTGACTGTTGGTGGATATCGCTATGGTGTTTGAGATGGTGTTGAGAGACTCGATCGATGGATGAAAGAGGACGGAGGAAATGGCAATGAAGAGGATGCGCCGGAAACAGAATGGGAAAGAGCTGGAGACCTCACCGATGGGACCTGGGGGACCAACAAGGTGCCTGTTCCAAGGCCCTGGGGATCTGATGTGTCACGCCTCCTGTGCCTGCCGTTGGCGTCTTGTTTCGGAAGCTGCTTTGGCTGGCTGATAAGGCCCGATAAGCACTCCGCGCGGGGAGGCACCACTAAACCCCTGCTGCCTGGGGCGGTCAGGGCGGATCTGCCCCTGGCGAGGCGCTAGTGATGAACCCGTGGTTGCGCATTGGTCACTGCACGCGTGGCTCCCCACAGGCCTGCATCAACAGTGACAAATCCACAAGACCGAAGAGCAGTTGAGTCGAGGCTTTGAATGGAACTTCATGAGCTCTTCACATTAACAATGGTTCTCCTTCGATTCAAATGTAATGCCATGACATTGTGCAACTTACCACTCTGCTCAGCTCAGATGATTCACTGATGAATCATAACTCAAGGTCAACTACGGCATTCATTCATGGGCGTTCGCGGAACTGTGGTAGAGAAGACGACAAGCACGATCAACTTTTACAGGCTGAGTACTCTGGTCCCCACCGTAGTTGTTGACTTTGATTGTTTACTTTGAATAGGGGCTATCGAGGCTTCATGACTCGTGAGCACCTTGATGACTCCCTCACTCGACGCTTTTGAGGTATTCCAGCCAAAGCCAGCCAAAGCCCGCCAAACTGGCCGCTTGCCATATCGGAAGAGCTCTTTGGTTGTCTTACCATAATGTCCAAGAGGATAGAGGTAAGATTGAGGCCATTCTTTATCACAAGACTGATAGTAGATTGTTTGTCTCGGACCAACATCCACTGTATGACCGGAACACAAGACCGAGCAGTCCAGATAGGTTTCCATACTCCGCTTGCCCGCTGTGGCCCCGTAACATTAACAGCGGGATGACACTACCAATGACTTCATTCCTCGCCATAACTGAGCACCTTAACGACGCTAACTCTCCGCGATAGAGTGGGGTGAAGCGGAGAACTTTAACAAAGCTGGCATGGATACCGGATGACCTAACATGTCCGAGCTCCAAGATGCTTATGAGGGAAAGCTCCTGAGAAGCTCCCCGCACGGAGCAAACAAGAGTGCGGATGACAAAATTATTGCATCCTTTTTGGTCCTTCTCGTTCCATCATTGGGCAGCTGAGCTGTTTCCTTTATCCTTCTCGTACAGTATTTGTGGAACCCTCACACAACTTATTCGTGGAAGTGGGAAGGAGCAACCGCAATATGGGCCGAATAAACTGTAGCCGACTTGCATGATTGTTAAGCTGCGATACAAAACGGTAACACTCTCCGGGAACTGTATCTCCCCTCTTTAACTCGGACATTCCAGGTCTTCTCCCGTCTCTTTCGTCCAAGTCAACCTCGAATCCAAGAGTAAACCAGACAACCTACCTACCTTACTCAATCCCACCACCTCACATCACGAAGAAGCACTACTCATCCATCGCAAAAACCACCCACCATGACCTCGGTCGAGGCATTCCCTCCCTCCATGGGATTGGGATCCGAACATGCCAATGGCAGCAACAAGACGGCCGCCGCTGACGGCAAGCTCCCTTCCTTCGACAAGATCGATAGCAAGATCGACGGCAAGATGAACGGCAAACACGCTGAGCCCAACGGCAAGTCCAATCTCAGCAGCAGCGAGCCCAACGGCAAGTCTCACCTCGAGCCCAACGGCAGCAGCAAGACCGGCACCAGCAAGAGCAGCAGCGGCAAGACCGCGCCCTCCTCTTCTCTCGGCGCCCGGAACCCTCAAGACGTGATCCAGCGAGGCATCTACAAGTCCAACCCCCTGGGCACCGCCGCCTTCATCGGCCTGCGCGCTCTCGACCCCATTCTCCAATACAAGTTCCTCGCGGGTGACTGGGGCACGCGCCTGCTGTCCAAGCTGAACATCAGCTCTATCCCGCTGTACGACTACCTAGTCGAGACGACCACCGCGGCGGGGACCAAGTCGGCCATTATCCGCTACCTGCCCCTTCCGCGCTTGATCCTGTTGCTCATGTCCGCCGGCTCCTCGCTGAAGCAGATCTACTGGCTTCTCGGCCTATCCCGCGAGGAATTGACCCCCGCTGCGGCGGTGGAGGTGTCGTTGTTTAACACCGTCATCAACACGCTCGGATCTCTCTTGTTGCTGGGAACTTCCACCTCCGCCTCCTTGTCAACCCCGCGCATCACCTTACCCTTCAGCTTCAACTCGACCACGGGAACATCCATGTCGCTGCCTCTGCCAATCGCCATCGGCTCGATCATGTACATAACCGGCATGGCGATCGAGACACTCACCGAGCGCACGCGCAAGAAGTTCAAGGATGACGACGCCAACGAGGGCAAGATCTGCCGCGAGGGCCTGTGGAACAAGGCGCGCCATATCAACTATGGCGGGTACACGCTGTGGAGGGCCGGGTACGCGTTGGCGGCTGGTGGTTGGGTCCCGGCGCTGGGCGTGGCGGCGTTCCACATCTGGCACTTTGTCAGCAGGAGCACAGTGTACATGAGCGAGTACATGCAGAGCCGGTATGGAGATCAGTGGGAGAAGTATAAGAAGGACGTACCGTATCTTTTGATTCCTGGTATTTACTAAGGAGGGGGAGTTTCCATGGTTGCGCTGGGGGGATGAGGAAATGTCAACGGCTGTGGTTTGAAGGGTCGGTTAAAGAAATTTGGGTGGTGGTGGCTATGATGATGTATGGTGGTAGAGTGCGAGTGAGGTAAGTGCCTAGGTTAGTGTTCAGGAGTGGTGGTCCAATCTTTGTGTGTTCCTTTGTATCAATGCTGTATTACTATTGAGACTGTAGTGCCCGGTACAATAATACGTATAAGTAAAACAGTGAAAGATGTCCAAGTCAGTATCCAAAAACTGACCAGAGAGAAACAGCCCATATGGTCCACTGCCAGGGTGTTAAGAGTAACGCCGAAAAGAATCCAAAAATATGTGAATGAGGGACGAGAACCACCAATGCATGCCTGTTCTAGGAACTTTTTCCTCGCTCACGGACGCCTCCTCTAGACGAGCCGTGTGGATAGTATAAGTGAAGTGACTTATCGCTCTGTCTTTCGGGGTATCGATTCTTTAACCAAACAACCGCATCTCATCTTCCTCCTCCTCATGTTGCCCGCCCACTGTCTTACATGCTGTCTTCCATCTGCCTGCTCCTCGTCTTCGCCCAGCTGTCACGCTCGGGCTTCCCACCCTTGTTCTCCAAACCCATACCACGCTCGACCCACATCTTGCTGCCCATCTCAGTCAAACGCGAGAGGGCACGCGCAAACGCGAAGGCTTCCTCGTCACCGGTGAACAAGTTGGACTTGGACAGCTTCTCGGCGTTCTGCTCGAGATCGTCCATCATGTGGCTCATCACATCTTCGACGGACCCCGCAGGGTCCAAGGTCTTGCCCTGCTTCTTGAGCGACTCCTCGATTTCTTGCCGGGAAACGAACAGTTCTGTTAGGGGCACGGCAGTCGTAAGGACGAGCTTGGCGTGCGACTCGTATACGGCATCGATAAATGTGATGAAGCGGCGGGCCAGATCGCGCTGACGGTAGGTCATGCCGGGAATATCGGTGACAATGAAGGCGTCGTAAGAGCGCATCAGCTCAATGTAGTCGGCGGCACCCGTCGGCTGGCCGATTAGCTCGTCGAAGGTGAACCAGGCGCAACGGCCGCTGACACGAGGGACGTGGATCTCGCGGCCCCAGACAGTTTGCACCTCAGGATGCGGTTCGGGTGATTCGGGATCGCCCAAGAAGTGGAACCACTTCTGGGCGTGGGAGGTCGCATGGGCGTCGAGCGCGGTGTGGTAAACGCCGGAAGGAGGGCGGGGGATCTTGCGGTAATCGGTGTTCGAGTTCAGGTTGATGACGTGTAGCCGGTTCTTGAGCAGTTCGATGGCGGGGATGAAGGACTCGCGCTGGATACCGTTCATGTAGAGCTCGCTGGGGTGTCGGTTGGAGGTCGTAACAAGAACAACACCGTGGGACATGAGAGCCTCCAGCAGGCGGCGAAGAATCATGGCGTCGGCGACGTCGGTGCACTGGAACTCGTCGAAGCAGAGAACGCTTCCCTGCTGGGCAATGTCGGCCGCAACAAAGGGCACAGCGTCAACATCGTTGCCGTGTAGCATCTTCATCTTGTGGAGGCGCTTGTGGACATCCTGCATAAAGTTGTGGAAGTGTATCCTCGTCTTGGACTTGATGTTGTGAGGTAATGTGTCGTAAAAGAGATCCATCAGCATGGTCTTGCCGCAGCCGACATCGCCGTAGAGGTAGACCCCCGGGGGAGGTTGGCAGGGATTTCGGCAATGGCACTCTTTGGCTTGCCGCCAAAGAAGGAGAAAAGCGACTTGTGGGGTTTTAGGGATTCGAGGGTCGGGTGGACGACGGGCGGTGCGGCATAGTTCCGGAGTTCTTCGTGAAGATGCTGTAGATTCTGGATGATTCCTGTTTGCGCCAGCAGAGTCAGCGACTGCTCTTTTTCGGAATGGAGTTAAGACTTCCAAGTGTCGCATGCTCACCTCTTTGGTGGTCGTCATTTCGCAACTCCCCGTTGGCGACTCGGCGGTCGTACTCTTGGATAGGGCCGAGGTTTCCCGGGTTCACTGTGGGCAAGATACGAAGGAGTCAATTCAAGGTCTCTCGCTATGCGGGGCATGATGCCGGTGGCAGTGGAGGTCAAGGTTTTGCTAACCATTGTCAACAGCGGCTGCGGCGGTAGCAGTCGTCGCCCTTCTCCTTTGGCCAGCAGTAAATATCGCAGGAAGGATGATGCGGGCGGCAGGACGGGCAGCATGTGCCAAGGCGCGCGACTGGCTGGCGTTCGTATGTGCGCATGCTGATGCTGTACATTGTGTGCGCCGGGATGTGTTGTTTGTGATGATTCTCGCCGAACGGGCCGTCGAGGACCGAAAGAGGGGCTTCGCCGTAGTCGGGAGCCCGAGCGGAACACTGATCACGCGCATCTTGACCAAACCGGTTTGCTCCTGGTGTCGACAGGAATGGTAGAAAGCAGGAGGAAACGGTGGTAGCCGGAGAAACTCGACAACAGAAATTAATGACGACTACCGAAAAAGAAGAGCAAAATGTCTAGGAGAGCTCGCAGCTAGGGATGCATAATCCAGCGGGTGAATGTCGAAAGATGGATCGTGAAAGCATAAACGGCCAGGAAAAAGACCGCATCGGAATGATGACGGTTCGAACGGCAGAACGGGTTCAGAACTCCAGCAGCTATCGAATCGGACGACAGGCGTTCCCGGGGTTCGGCCTTGTGGGGACGGCATCATTTTGAGGCTTGTGATTCCAGGTTCTAGAAGGCCAGTGAAGGGGGCAAATATTTCATTGGTCATATTGAAGTCAGATCCGGATCATGGGCAGCACTGTTAGGCCAAACATCTCCCACCTACTCTTGGATCTTTTGGTCACCACGACACACAACACAAAGCTGGTGTTTCTGCCATCATAAAAGGCGTCAAAAAGACTACACATTCGTGAAACTCCAAGAAGGTAAAGTTATCAGACAGGCCGACAGGGGCAGCATGGCCGGAGAGAACGGATTTTCGTCGGGATCTTGTTGTCCGACTGGTGTGGGCATTCCTCTTCTAATAACCGCTAACGTCGTAGACAATGGGCGCTATTCGCTGCTGACGTTCAGAGCCTCCTCCGCTACTGTCGGGACAGCAGCAGTGTTGACCGCGGCTCGACGCGGCAAATGCTGCCTGAGAGGTGAAGTTCTCCAAAATCTGCGGGGTCGGGCTGCCATCTAGAATGGACCCTTGAGGTTCCCGTCGGGTTGTGGAGAGCCGCCGGGATGATACAATTAGCTTGGCAATCGGCTCAGTTCATCTGATCAATTTTCTGTAGCCGCAAATCTCGACTATCCATCACCCCTCCCATTTCCGATGTTCAACGCCATGTCGTTTCCTTCGCGATACCGTTATCTCAACAGCAACAAGGTCGTTCTTTGACAGCCATGCCAAAGCTGCTTTGTTTGGTTTCACCCCGTCGTCCAGACTTCACGCGGTACGAGCAGCAACCTTCAACTGCTCAATTTTTTGTGCTACTGAGTAGCACCCGCGACATGATCACAGACTGTCACAAGCCTGATACGCATACACAATACTTCGTTTATTGAAGCTAGTTTGTCATGTAGTCTGTTGCCACCGAGTTGCCAGACGACGGGCTGCTTTCCCTTCGTTTGTTGGTCTAACAAGGCGAGCAAGGGTCGCAGCAAGGCTATAGCCCTAACCCTGGAAATCTTCCACCCAACCTCCCTCCTCCTCTACCGTCGTCTCCTCCGTCACTCCCGTTATCACCCACACCAACATCACAGGCGGATCCCCTTTTCCTGAGTCAATGATACGATTTTGCCCGGCGTGTCTCCTCCAGTGCCTTTTACGGTATACTCGATTTGTTGTTGTCTCTTAAAGGTGGATTAAGCATTTGATTAGTGTTCCTACAACGACACGTCGTGCATCAAGCACAGTATAAACGTTCCTCACCATGAAATGCCCTCGCCGTCAAAGCCCCATACCCACCGAAGTTTTTACTGCAGTTATTGGGCGAGTAGCAGTACGTACATGTCTTTACTTGGAGAACGTCTCAGCCGATGCGAAAGTTCGCAGAAGTCCAAGTTGAAGGACTGAGAATGCGTGATGCCCAGACATTGATCAAGGGTCTCGACTCTAGACGAGTGACGATCGCAAACTAAAGAGGATCCTCAACGATAGGCTCCCGGCCCTGCACAGGTTCGGGCCGCTCCTTGTTGCATAGCGTCGCCGTTGACAGATATCTCCATGCAACCTACAGTACCAGTGTCGAGCCTCATCGCAACGCTTTCCACCCAGTGGATACCACGCTTGTCATGGAGTACTACACTCTAGTAACTCCGAAACGCCCCAGGATCAGTAACAAGGACTCGACAGCGGAGTTTGTGAGAGTTCTGGCCATTGCTTTCTTGATCTAACTGACAAGGCATCAACTCCTACTGCTACACTCGGTTGCATTCTTGCCTTTGGCTCCTGAATTCATGGCTCCTCCCGGCTTCAACTCTCGAGAAAGCTGAGCAATGCCAGCTTGTATGCGTTGAGGATGGGATCAGCCGGCCACCATACGGTGCTGGCAATGTCATCACGGTCGCTAGCTTGTGTATACACGATGCTGGCACTTCTCATAACCCCTCACGGGTCCTCAACATTCCGACGCTGTTGGCGTGGCTCCGATGGCGGAAGGAGATCGGGAACGGAAGAAGTCACAAATCAAGATTCACTTGGCGATGTCTATGGCAACAAAAAGCATCTATAAGTAGCAGAAGACTCCTCGAGAATATGGCAATGTTTTCATCAGCATCATCATCAGCTTCTTCCTTCACTCAGCTTCTCACTCCCAAAGTCAGACCTTCAAGGCATCTTCAGCAGTCTCTGCCACTATCACAACCCAAACCCACCAAAAATCTCATCTCAAAATGCTCTTCTCCACCGCCCTCCTCTCCCTCTGCGCCTTTGCCGCCGCCGCACCTCTCACGCCTTCTGCCGTGAAGACAGCCGTGAGCCCTGACGGCTACACCTACATCGTTGAAACCGAGGCCTACGTCGAGGACACCTTCACCCGCAGCGACGGCCACAACGTCACTGTCCTCGTCCACCCGGCCCTTAAGCGCTCCATCGACATGGACGCCGACGGCCAGTCTTTCAACCCCGGCACCCTTGCCAAGCGTCTCTCGTGGAATGACGGCTCCAAGTACGCCGACCACTGTGGCGCCTCGACCTACGTCAGGAAGACAACGAACGCCTCGCCGCTCATCTCCGACTGCGCCGCCATCCGCGACTACTATTCCCAGCACCATGGCCGCTTTGTCGCCACCTGGTTCGACCGGGCGTTCAACGGTGGAGACTATTGCCGTCTTGTGATCACCAACACGTGCGTTTTCGGTATCAAGAGCGGCAGTCCTTTTGCTGTCAATGTGGGCAGCAGGGACATCTCTGACCTTACCCGCGATGCCATCAACAAGTTCCGCGGAACCCAGCGCGTGGGTGCTGAGGGATTCATGGTCTGCAATGGTGGCCAGCCTAGCAACGTCGACTGGGCTCTCTTTACCAACTAAGCTTGGTTGGTTTGATGATGGTGATGATGATGGGATGCAGGCAGGCAGGCAGGCCTTTGTTGGAAGCGATGGGTGCGTAAGGAGGACCTGCAGCCGGTTTGGGCTTGGTGCCATATGTCGGAGGGAGAAAAAAAGGATGGGATGTGCCACTGTACTTGTGCCGTTCAATACACGCGCAGACAGGTTTGGAAACATAGGGTGAGGAACGAGTCACGAGAGGAAGGTTCAGTGTCAGACTCTGGCCCGGCCAAGCTAGGTCTACACGGCGTGTTTTTTTTTCTTTATACCTGTATGTGATGGGTTGAACCGACTGTGTATCCCACACGATGATTTCACGAGTGTTACGAGAACATTGGCAGGGATGGATGGATTTGGACACACTCTTTTGGATATTATACCCTTCCGGTCAGTTAGGTTGAGGACCACTAATAGGGCAAAGATGCATGCATACAAAACGTTTTACCACTTTGGCGATTGACAGAGTGAGTAAGCTTTTGCCTCCTTTTTCTTTCGCTGATTTTGTCATTGTGTGAGTGAGCTGTTTGTTCGTTGCTTGATAAAACAGGCTCCTCGCTCGCTGTTGGGGAATTTTCAGCATTGAGCGTAGTTTTGCTGGTTTGTGGATCCATGAAGAGTGCATCTATCCATCTCTTGCCCTGAGTTAGTGCGACGTTAAGATATCTTCCTAGTGATCTATCCTCTAAGCTTTTGAACTCTATAATGTATACCGACACAATGACTAAGTGAACACCAGGCCCCTATAATCCTCATGAGAAACACAACATCGACAATTCGCATGCATCGCTAGGTCGTAAAATCCATACAAATGCCCCAATGCCCAATCCTAACCGCACAATACATCCTTAGCATACTCAACTTCCTCCGCCGTTCCGCAGACAATTCCACCGCGCTCATCACATCCCTCCACCCCCTTATCCCCCAGGATATCCTCCCCGGTCACCGGGTCAACTGCCCGTCCACCACAGCACTCCACCACCAACGCCAACGGGAACAGCTCATACAAACTCCTCAACTTTGCCTTGCTCGTCTCCGTCACGGGGCTCAGATACACTCCGTGACCCTTGACCAGCGCATGCACCACATCCGGCACCAACCCGCCGCAGTATCTCAGCGTGTAGTCCTCCGCCATGTAATGCGAGATCAGCTTTGCATAAGCCGCATGAGTGTTGGTCGAGCGCAGATTCGCAGGCGCGAAGTACCGCGTCTTGAAAGGTGGCGGCGCGTAAGAGACGTCAGGGCGGATGAGATCCCATTCTTGCCTTCCACCTTCAGACCCTGAAAGGCCTACTTCGAAGCAGACACCCTTCCCTTCCTGCCCCGGCAACCTCAACGCCACAATAGCTGTGGTCCTTGGTCCATAAACGCCCAGAACCGCACCGATCTGCTTCTTCTTCGGGCTGGCATGTAGCGCCGTCGTCCCATCCCACAGACTGAGAATCGTTCCCACCGTCCAATTCGGCGCAATAATGCTGGATCCATCAAGCGGGTCAAATGCGACGGTATAAACCTCGCCGTGGGTGCGATCCTGCTCGGCCTCGATGACTTGAAAGGGCAAGCCGGTGTGCTGCACCGGTTTCTCGACGGGGTCCTCTTCGCTACTCGCTGTGACGACCGAGGGACATTGCGCGAGGCAGAGCCGGATGGCTTCCTCGGCGAGCACGTCGACGTTGAGCTGGTCGTCGCCGAAGGAGTTGGAGGAGCCGGCGAGGGAGACGTCTTGAGCGTTGCGGAGGGCTGTGGAGGTGGCGGCAATGGCGGTGAGGAGATGGGGCAGGACAGAGGTACGAAGACTGTCTCTTGAGACGGAAGAGGGGAGGAGGGAGGCGAGGTGGGTGGTGAGTGCCGTGGTGAGGGGCGTTGCGGGTGGTGCTGTCGCTTTGAGGGAGTGGGAGGCTGCCATGGTGGGGTAATCTTGTGAGATAGACTTGGAGATCGGAAGAGGGAAATTGAGGATTTTGAGGTTGGATATAGAGAAGAAAGGAAAAAAAATGTCGAGAGTGAAATATGCGAATTTCAATCCTTACGAACAAATTCCAGGCAGATAAATAGGTATGATAATCTGAATTCTGAAGCCTCCGAAGCCAGTTGGTTCCTTTCCAAGGTTTCTGTCACTGTCATGTCATTCTTGGAAATGTAGTGGATCCTATTGGCTTATAGCAACCACCATCATCAGGGTTAGGGTCTTAAACGTGACAACCTCTTCCCTCGCCCTTTCCACGTTTGATCACTTGTTCCTAAGATCATGTCTTCCAAGACCAAAAAAAAAACCTTTTTTTCCCCAGAAAATGAGGCCATCCACAGTCCATCCATCCGCCTGCACAGGCCCTTTTTGCCTCATGGCTGGGCGTCTGTCCCAAGGCGCGAACTCGCCCTGCCTTCAATCACTCTTCGACTTCTCCCATCTCCTCAAGATGGCCACCTGAGTGATGCCATCAACGGTCCTTTTGGTCTCTCTGGATCTTTCTCTTCTTAGTTGGCTCAATGAGTGTTTTTTATTTGTGTTCATGGTCGCAGCTTGCGGGCAATTTCCGGTGTTCCTTCCATCCGGTCCCTCTCCTCTACGCCAACTCATGCTTGTACAAAAAAAAAAAAAAAAAAAGGTTATTCACCCTACTTAAGGCCTCATATTAACCATGATTATGGCCCAGGATGAGCTGACAATGCTTATCCGGTAAGTTATTGCTGAGTGTCTTCGGCTAGATCTCGCACGTTTGCTTACAGCTTCACCTGACCGAGTCGCTGATTTTTTAAAGAACAATCTTTGCCTTTGAGGGACCCCATCTATCGACCCATCTCCATGCCTATCCAACCGAAGAGAGGTGTGAGTGAATGGAAATCTACATGGAGTGGATGCCACTCGTCGGAATAGTAGCACCAGATGAATAACCCGCTGTTTGCATTCGAGCAAACCACTCCCAAACCTGAGTCATCTCGTCTCTTGCCTGCATGAATGAAGCACAAAAAGGGTAAAATTCAACATGGCCGCAGCTTCATCTCTTCTTCCTGTCTGCACGAGCAATCCGGTCCGGTCGGGCATCATAAAATGCAGCCGAATGGCTTTGGGACCATTTCTTCAAAATGCAACCTCCTTTCCCCTTCAACCAACTCGCAGTACACCACAAGAAAGTGAAAGCTTCCACGAGCACCGCACTTGTTCTCCTATTCTTACTCGAACATCGCTTCGAAGCCCAGCTATTGCAGACATCTTTACCTCGACAGATTACAAACGCTACCTCTTATTTATTTTTCACATATCGCGACGCATAACGCCCCCTGACAGCATCGAGAAGGGAGAGTAAATCAGACGTTGCTCAGAATGGAATCACCTCCCACGAATGAGGCCATCTCCGCTGACACCATTGCCGACAACCAAACTCCATCGACAAAATCAACAAGTCCACACTCAACCATATCCAAACCGAGCCCCAAACGCACATTGTCCGACATGGAACCGGCCGCCTGCCCATCAATTTTATCATCATCCCCCTTAGTCAACCAAACCGCTGGGACAGACAGCGATAACACAGCATTCACCACCCCGGCTGCCACTTCCAGCCCTATCGCTCACTCTTCCCCCAAGACCAAGCCAAAGCAGGAAAAGCCCCCCAGCCCTCCCAACGCAGTTAGCACGAACACCCAGGGTACCATCCCCAAGCCCAAGATCATCCTCCTCCACCACGACACCATCATCGACGGGCGCCACATAATCACCCGCACGATTCAGAACTGTTTCGCCGCCATCCTCGGCCCAACCGTCATACCGCCGAGCGAGGCCACGATCCTGAACGCTTTTGCTCATAATGCCACGCTTGCTGAAGCTCTAGTTCAACTGGGTGCTTTTAAGTCTTCAGGCAAATATTCTTCCTCTGGCCCAAGCTCAGCTTTCTCTTCACAGTCTTCTTCTTCCTCTGCTTCTGCCGCTGCTGCAGTTGGTACCGACTCCAATACCACCAAATCCACCCCCAGAAGCAAAGGAAAGGGCAAAGCCAAAGCCACAACGGACCCAAGCACCCCCACGCAGGAGGAAAAGCAGTACGACTACCAACACGCAATCGCCCACTGGACCCAAGCCTACCTCCACTACACCCACGAATTCCTCTCCGAATTTGACATCTACTTTGATCTTGAACCCTTCGTCAAGCAAATGAAGCAGCAGGGCGTCGAGGTGGTTATTCTTATCGCTCAGGATGGCTTTGACAAACCTTCGTCACCCGAACAGATGCAGACCGCAAACAAGGACGGAAACGGAGACAAGGATGGGAAGAAGAAGAAGCAGCCTGCGCAACCAGCGAAGGGCGTCAAGATCATTCAGGAGTTGGTGAGGCGCATGGGTGTCACTGCTGCTGGTAAGGGATCGAGGGGATACCAGGGTCTGAGCAGACAGGCAGCTGGCAGCACGACGGTGGTGGTTGATGGAATTTATGCATCTGGTATTAGCGGCGAGGGCGTTGCAAAGGTTTGGAGAGGCGAGGTCCTGCCCGCGGCTATCGGTGGTGAAGGCAAAGCCTGTGATGAGAAGAACACAAAGACCGGCAAAGCGATGACGACCGATTCCCCAGTAATGCGAAAAGACGAGGTCATCTTCGCCTGCTCCTCAAAGCAGTACCTTGCCCTAGCAAGGGCCATCGGAGCGACGGCTTGCTGGGTTGTCAGGTGCGAGGACAAGGGCAAGACGACTGATCAACAGGCGGATCTTGTTGTTGGGGACCTTGAGAAGCTGGGTCAGCTAATTGGTAGCAAGATGGAATCTAACGGCAAAGGCGAGAAGGCTGTGGTTGACGCGAGCCACAGCAGCAATAGAAGCGAGGCCGGTACCAGCACCAAAGCTACCAAGGAAGACACGCCGAAGAAGGGAAACCCAAAGGTTGAGACGGAGGATATCGAGATGCCGGACGCTGACCACGACGTCGTGGCGACTATTGTGGTGCCGGACGCTGCTCTCACCGTTGAGGCCACGGCGGTGAAGCAAGACTTCAGAGGCAAACAGGATAAGGAGGGTGAGAAAAAGAGCGAAAAACGCAAACTGGCTTCTCCTAAGACCATGAAAGCCATCAAGACCGAGGCTAACGACGACGACGACACTGTGGCTACCGTTGTGCAGAAAAAGAGTCCTACCACCGGCAAGAAGAGAGCGAGGGAGGAGGATGATTTGGATGAGTGGCTCCCGGTGGAAATGGCGGTGGGAAAGGGAGTGGATGATGTTCCGTTTGTGGATCTGACGGAGGAATCTTGAGGGGACTGGAGTTGAGTCACTTAAACCATGAAAGACAGAAAAGAAGGGGAAAAAAAAGGAAGAAAAAAAAAGGGAGAGGCACGCCTATGGAGATGGCGGACGGCAGGCGCTAGAACAAAAAAATCATAACTGTTCAATGTCGTAAAACGGCGGGGTCTTGCCGGACACATGAGCTCAGTTCCACGTAGCAGACAGAGCAAGGCAGACGAAAAGGGCAAACGACGCAACAAGAAGAGGTTCAACTTTCATGGTCATGATGAACTGGTAGATGGCGAATACCGCTTCCACTCACTCGATTTGATTTGCTCAAGCCAATCCTGTCACAGGGACGGTCCCAAGAAACGTTGCGACCCACATCAACTCAGCAGCAGATTGGTCAGAAGCAGGTATACTGGTTATTTTTGCTTTTTTGAGCAAAATCAAATCGAATGAGTCGATGCGGTAGCTCGTTGTGAGGCTATGGCATCGTCAAGTGGGAACCAGATGCGAAGTTGTCGTACGTTATTCCATCTCCGTCTGCGGAAAGGTGACAACCACCATGGATGAAAGGAGATATTATCCCCAACCAAATAACGCCTAACAACCAACCATTTGCGGGACTGGGTAGTGAGAGAGAACAGATAGATGAAAAACAGAAACCAAAAACATGCCATTACTATGCTACCCATTTTGATGCAATTATTGCTTTCCCGCCTTCGCCTTCCTCTTGACCGAGTTGATCAGACCGTCGATATCCGCATCGTCAGTCTTGGCCTTCTTGTTGCTCTTCTCGCTCTTGACGTTCTTCTCCGTGACACTAGGACCGTCCTTGCGCTTCTTCCTGCCCTCCTCAAGCAGCTTTTTCATGCCCTGAGTGGCCTTGAACTTGGGGTTCGAAGGATCGATAGCGAACTCGTGGCTCTCGAAGACGGCCTTGAAACGGGAATCCTCAACGTCCATGGCGAACTCCTCCTGGAGACCATCCGCACCCTCAGCACCCTTCTTGCCCTTCTTGCCCTTCTTCTTGCCCTTGCCCTTCTCCACCTTGGCGATCTGCTTCATATCGAAATGATCGAGACGGCCACTAGCATCACCGTTCTCATCAGCCATGAGCAGCTCCAGCTGGGCCTTCTCGGCGGCGTTGGCAGCCTCCTCGGCCTCCCTCTCAGCCTTCTTCTTGAGCCTCTCTTCCTTGCGGATCGCTGTCTTGGAAGGCGCCACGGGCTCGGCAGTGAAGAAGGGGTCGTCGAAACCGAGATCTTCGCCTTCGCCTTCGGCTCCTTCGAAAAAGTCGCCTTGCTCTTCCATCTTCTGAGGAGGGGCGTTGGGGTCGCGGCCTTCCCTCCTGGCGAGCATCTCCTGCCGCTTCCTCTCCTTCCTCTCGCGCTCCTTGCGCTTGTACTTCTCGATCGTCGTCTCCTCCCTCTCTTCCTCTCCCTTCTTGGCGTTGCCGGACAGCGCTGGCGTGAAGGTGATTTGCATCTCGCCCACGGGAGCGTCCTTCTTGGACTTTACGACGGGCTCGTCAGCAAGACCGAGAGCAGCGCGCATCTTGCGCCTAGCAAGCTCTTTCTTTGACAGAGTCTTCTCCTCTTCTGCTGCTTCTTCGGCACCGGCGGCGGCGGCCTCCTCGGCCTCCGACTCCTCCTCATCGTCTGAGCTGTCGCTCGCAAGGTAAGCGCGCAGGTCGTTCTCGGCAATGTCGTTGCGGCTACCGGTGAACGCCTTCTGGAGGGCTTCTTTCCTTGAGTAATCTTCGGGGTTCGTGTCCCAGGTGAGTTTGACCTTGGAGTGCTGGAGAGCGTCGGTCACGAACTCCACCGGCTTGTACCCGGGGGGAACGCTGTCGCACTCGTCTCTGGGCTCGTCGTCGAAGGTGACGTCGTCGGGGATGAATCGAAGGTCGAGGAAGTTGGAAGAGGAAAGGTATTCGCTGCCGTCTGTCGCCTCGTAGATCTTGTGTGCTGTATTCTTGTTGGAGCAGACCATTACGGCGTAGTAGTACCGTAGCCTGTCGAGCTGGTAAGTGCGAAGGGCGTCGCTGTCGAAGTCCTGGTCGTCTCCCTCCTCGAGGAGCTCCCTCCTGATAGCCTCGTCCGAATCAGAGTCCTCCGAGTCGCTGTCGGAGTCGGAGTCTGAGTCGTTCTTCTTCTTGAAGATCTCCTGGGGAGGACCTTCCAGCTCTTCTCTTTGCATCCTCTGCTTGCCGAACTCGCTGGGATAGATGGAAACCTTCTCGATGCGACCGCCTGGGGGCACGAAGCTGTTGAAGAGGGCGAATAGATCGATCGACTTGATATGGTCCCAATCAATGTTGACGACAGCAACCCTGTTTGTGATTTCGCCTTCCTCCACGGCCTCCTTATCCTTGCGCAGGCGGATGCCGGGTCGTGTTTCCGCATCGGCCTCGTCCTCGACCTCTGGCTGTTCGTCTTCGGAGTCGTCTTCGTCGGAGTCGGAGTCGTCATCGGATGAAGAGAAACCGCCGCCGCGGGCAGGGTCGTATGAGTTGGCGGCCTCTAGTTCGCGCTGAACAATATCGTCGTCCTCGACCTCAAAGTCGCTCTCGTCTTCGGCTTCGGCCTTCTTGTCCTTCTTTTCCTTCTTGGGCTTGTCCTCATTGTGTGTGTCGTCCTCGCTTTCGTCCTCGTACAGGCGTTCCAAAGCCTTCTTCTTGGTATCGGTCTTCAGCTTGCGGCCGTACCTGTCGACCTTTGCGACGGCGGTGAAGTCTGCATCTTTGAGGACCTTGGAGAAACGCTTGTCGAGCTTGGTCTTCAGGTTCTTTTTCGAGGGCAGCTGGAATCGCGGGTCTGTCTCAAAGCTGGCGAAACGAGCGTCGGTGATAGCAGGGGCGCTCTCGCGCTTTCCCCTGGGCTTGTTGTCTTTGGGCATGGTGGTTGGATGTGGAGTTGGTGTTTGATGCGATCCGAAATGGAGGATCCGACGGCAGCAAGGAAGACTCCAAATTCGACATGTGCACAGCACGCAGAACATCCGAGAAATTTTTTGTGGAGCATTTTTCATTCTGCCAAAGGCGGTCTGCAGGCAACTGTCAACACGCCCCACCGGAAACGCCAAGCCGTGAGCTAAAGCAGATCAATCCCACCTCCCCGCATTGGCGGCATGCAACGAAAGGCCCGCTAAAACTCCGCTAAAGTCCACTGACGCCCACTGCGACGACATGTTCAACCTCGAAAACTCCAAAACACCATCCAGAAATCAAACAATGTCGTCGTCCATCCATCCAAATTCTCAATATCCGGGGTATCAATTTTTCCGTCCGTCCTTTACCAAATGTCAACACGTCCTCCTTCAGCAATCCTTCTTCCTATGGCCATTTCGATATGATATCCGACTGGCCATTCAGCTCCCTCCGTTGTCGCCAGTCTTCGAGTCTGTAACATTTATCTCGTCAGCCGTGGATTCCCGTACCTGAACATCTACAAAAGACGCTTCATACTTTTTCCTTCTTCAGCTATTCCAGTGCCACATCATTGCGCCAAGAGTGAGGATCCCAACAAGCATCAATAGCGCCACGAGCATCGCGCCAGCCTTGTTCTCTGCCTTGATGTCCTCGTCTTGGTCCGAAGGGATGAGTCGTGAGTAGCTGTCGAGATTCATGGTTGATCTAATATTGTGGATTAGGCCGATAGTTCTGCGTTATAAGGCCGATATCTGAGAATGGATTTTGAATATGGGAATTTCTTTGGGTGAGGGGAGGTTAGATGACAGGTCTCCAAAGTTGAAGAGCGTCTCACAAGACTTATAATTGTTCTCTGGTCCCTACCCGAGAAAGAATGCGCCGCAATTCGTTACTTCATCCACCATTCCCCAACTTCCGGACTGAGTCAGCTGCTCTTTGTTTGTGCTGAACCAGGAAAGAGATCCTTGGTGGTGGTCAGGCGGGGTTACCCAAGCGAGTCAACAAGCACGCACAAGGCGTCGAATGGTGCGGTAAGCGCTCTCCCGACAGCTTGGGAAATTCCATCCCTGGGTCTGAGCTCCGGTCTACCCTTCCCGCTCGGTGTCGCCTACTCCGAGTACAGTATGCCTTGCCACCTCGACCTGGAATGCCCTCGATCAGATGTCACTGATGATCTTGGCATTTGCCAAGCGAGGCGTCAACATCCCTGCATTACGCGAGACAACGCGCACGCCTCACTCCGAAGCGGACCACGGAGTCCGGAGTTGGGTGTTTGTGCTCCCCTGTCCGTCTGTTTATGATGCGGCATTGACTCCAATTCATCAACAACATCCGGAACCTTTGTCAATTACATTCCCGGCCGTGCCGATATTGCTTGCCTCGCCCTCCCGGCCGACTTCCCGTGAGCGGTTATACCCGAAAGTCATCACGTACATACAGTACATGCCTAGGCTCGGATACAGGAGCCGGCAGACGACGATTGAAGTTCTTTCGTTTACCCTGAAGGTACTATCTCACCTCTTCAGATATCAAAAGCCCTGCCATCACGCGGCCGATAGATCAACGGTTTTTAGCCAGGGCAGGTCTGAGCATGCCCTTTACACCGTTTGTCGACAAACAACGAAAGCAGACATCCGTCCCTACCTTTCTACAGGCCATTCATGTTTCCGTTCATGGAGTCGTCGATTTTTTTCCATGGACAACAAGAGAGGTTCTTTGAGGTTCTAGTGGCCAATGTTGTCCTATGAAGGCCATCAGTTGAAGGCCTCACGAGAGAAAGGGCTTGCTGAAAGCTTCTAGCTGCGTCGTGCAACTGTACAGAGACGCATCGAGTGGGGTCACAGAAACTGGCTCTCTATAAAATGTCACGCAGGACTCAACTGTCCAGGCGCTGAGACGAACAGCAACACTCATCTCAAAGTCACAGGTTTATCCTGCATTATTTGAAACACGAAGACCTTACCACACCGAACGCTGCACAAACGCTTCTCAAGATGGTACACTGCGAACTCTCTAGTTAATTTTCTGCCTTTGCCAGAGCTGACTATCCCCACAAGATTCCCTTGATTCCTGTCATTGCGGGCATAGCTGCCGTCGTTGCACCCGCGATAGTTACCGCCCCCATTCTTGCCGCATTGGGATTTGGCGCCGCTGGCCCCGTTGCTGGTTAGTGCCATCCACTCATGAAGGGCATTTATGCTGTTCTCATCCTAGATCAGGTGCTGATCTAGGTAAACCAGGAACTGCCGCCGCCGCCGCTCAAGCCGCACTTGGCAATGTCGCTGCTGGAAGTGCCTTTTCTATTGCTCAGAGTGCTGCGATGGGCGGATACGGTGCCGCAATTGTCAACGGAGTTGTCCAAGGAGCCGGATTGCTTGTTGCTGGAGCTTCCAGTGCCGAGTGCCTGGTCTCGGGTTGCAGAAAATACAAGGAGTGAGGAGGAGAAGACATACCATTAGATGAGTGTTGAGTTATTTAAGATGCTGGTGTGAAAATAATTCATACAATTATCACTGTCCTTCTCTGTTGCACTCTTGTCTGCGTTTACTATTTATCATTCTATTCGATTCGCATCCCTCACGGAACGTCTGGTTCAGGAGCAGCGTTGGTCAACAGCTGAGGAACTGCCATTGTCCCTATATCATCATAGCTACCTTATGTTTCGTCATATTCATGAGTTAGTCTCATGAAAATGCTCTGGCTTCACTCGGGAACCCGCATCCAGCTCCGGACGGGATCATGGCATTGGTGATCTCATGGACATCTTTGGTCGTTTGCGCATTCGCCATCATGACGAAATGAGGCCTACAGAGGAAGGATTTTGGTGATTATATCAGCTCAAAGTGACGGCTCTCCATCGAATCTGCAACAATCTCTTCTCTCCACCTCCGCCTCCAAATCATACTCCTCACTCAATCTTCCCACAGGTGAATAAGATCTCGAAGGTTCGTACGTCTTGACGTGAAGTTATGATGACTCTGATAGATCAAAAGCTGATGCTGACATGCTCGGTGCAGAAATTATCAAAGACTCTCGAAGATGATGAGCATTATTCTATCCATCCTCGGATGGGCTGCCGCTGGGGTCAGGGCCGGTGAGTGCTAACCCCCCATTCTTCGTAAGGTCGTGGAATCAAGTATGTGCTGACGTTCTCACGCCGCTAACTACGCATAGGATCTATCGCGGCAGGGCTTCACTCTCTGATTGGCAACGTTATTTCCGGTAGCTGGTTTGCCATTCTTCAAAGTCTAGGAGCAACTGGTGCTGGCTTACCCGCACTCCTGGCAAGAATGTTGGGATGAGGATCTGACATTTTCATGGGGTTCGTTCGAACAACCTTCATTATGGCTGAGACGCCGGAGGGCGGAACTTCCTTCAGGATCAGATAATACTGTTACAGCGCCAGCCGTGTGATTATCTTTGCATTTGGCTCAATCACCAAATCTGGACCAGGGTTGTAACTCTCTACTCTTGACTAGAGCCTTCCAGCCTTTGTCAGCGGGAAAACAAAGATTGTACCGTCAAATATCTGCCGGACAAAATTTCAATCACTGGAATCTAAATCATGAAATGTTAACGATACACTCTCACCAAAATGCTGTTTATGTCTCCTTGCATTCATCTCTGGAAGGCTCGATTGCTGATTCGTCCATAACGCGGTAGGCCTCACGCAGCTTTAGGACCCCGGCACCCCCTCACAACGGGCTCGGATCAAAACAACGGAAATGCAAACGGAACACACCAACTGCAAACTTTGCTGCTTCATCAATCGCCTCAGCCCAAGGTCACTGGACTGGCCTTGTCATAAAACTATTACGATTCTCAAATCACAGATTCCTTCGCCATTAGCAGACAGACACCAGAGAGATGGCGTTCTGGGGCCATGTCGCAGAATGGGGCGCGAACACTGTTGCCCCGGCCGTTGTTGGTCTTGCAATGAACGCCAAAGAGCTCGGCGAGGAGGTAAGGTTTTTTACCACGATTGCGGGCTTGAAGTGGAATATTCATCAGCATTGCTAACTAAAACTGCCAGGTGGGAGGCCAGGCTGCTGAGTGGGCAGCTAATGAAGTTGCTCCTCGTGCTGTTGGCCTTGCGATGGAGGCACAGAAGCATGCTGAGCAGGTAGGTGATAGAATTTTAGGCCTGAAGGCCTTGCACATCTGTGTTTTACGGTCTGTCAAGTGTACTGACATATTTCGAATCTCGGATTAGGTGGCAGAATGGGGTTCTAAGGAAGTTGCTCCTCGTGCTGTCGGTCTTGCAATGGAGGCTCAAAAGCATGCTGAGCAGGTAAGTGCCAGATTGTCAAACTTGAAGGCCTCACACACATTGTTCCTGTCAATCATTCTGACATTGACTACCTTTAGGTGGTAGAATGGAGTGCAAAGGAGGTTGCCCCTCGTGCTGTCGGTCTGGCAATGGAGGCACAGAAGCATGCTGAGCAAGTGACTCCCGCTGTTATTGGCCTTGCCATGAACACCAAGGAACATGCCGAGCAGGTAGAAGATTTCTTTCTTCGCAAAGAATCAACATCGAGGCGAGACATCATGTCTCGTCCTATTCAGCATCAATTACTGACAGCTTTCAGATCTCTGGACACGTCGCTCACTGGAGCACTCACCACTTTATTCCTGCTGCCGCCGGATTAGCTCGCAACGCGGGGCGACATTATAAGCAGGTAGGAGTGACCACCAACTCCTTGTCGGTACTTCGTCCCCGACAGAGAGAAACTGACACCATGCGCTTTAGGCATCCCCGAACCAACGAACGGTGATACGGAGACTGGTCTCTTTCGGCTTGATTCTGGTGGCCGAAGGCTTTGGTATACCACTCCCCAAGTTGCTCATCGAGCCCGTGCATTCTCTGGAATCTGAACACAGGGCAACCGGGAATGAAACAGGAAACGGTGTGGTTGGCTTTTTGATTACAATTGCCACGCGTAATAATGTTGTTGTTGGGAGCATCGTTGGGTTGATAGCGTGGCTGCCCCTGTGTTGAGTACTGCAAGAGGAGCTGTGCAAACGATGACAGGCACGATGGCTTTATTGTGCCTGCTGATATGTATTGCTTAGGTGATCACGTCAAATCGGCAGGCGGTTCTTAGTTCCTTCCCTGGTACTTTCCAGTTCTCTCCTCGATTTTCGCTCGCTTTCCCGTTTCGTCGTTTATTTAGGCCCCAATCAGCTACACGATCTCGGGTTTGTTCTCAAACCCCGTCCGAAGGATTTTCGCCAACCCCTTGTTGGCCCAAAACAGCGACCACTCCACGCCTCCACCAGCATCTCTCGCATCATCCACCGGTAGGTACACTGGTGATATAGCCTCCTGCATATGACACTGTATGACAGCTGTCATCGGAGTGCCCTGTAGGCTCCATAAAACTTATTACCTTAGGCTGTCGTGCCCCTCACAGTACAACTGGGTTGCAAAGTATTCCGTGTCTACGTGAGCCTAACCACGCTCCCTAACAACAACATCCAACGCAACACACAAAGCTTCAACGTCTACCTAGTTCACTCTGTGAAACCTGCGTTTTCTCCCGAAGTGTCGACAACACACCGACAAAGGTGGCTACATACTCGCTCTTACAAGAAGCATGTTGATTGAGCACCAACCATGAAAGTCAAAGAAGGATGGATTTGTTGCATGCTCCCTATCTCTCGGGCGAAACTATTGGAAATTGTCGAAAGGGCTAAGGAGAACGCAATGAAGGTACGTTGAAACCATGCCAGTCCCCGGGCACTTATCACATGAATAGACCTTGGCTTACTGATACGTCATGACTCCAGGTCTCGTTCCCATCAATCGTCCCGGGTATGCCAAAGTCCTTGGACATCCAGCCAGGCCTGACTAAAGAAGGGTCAAATGGAAAGCCGGTACGATAGTCCAAACAGAACATACATCCCCATGAGTTCCATACCATCACTGGGGGACATCGTACAGCTAACGACTTTTTTCGAGCAGGAACCAATTGCCCCCAAGGATTGGCCCACACTGGTCCGTCCCTGGCTGGAATCCATGGGAGATCTTACACAGGACATCAGGAAGCAGTATGAGGAGGTAAGTAGTACATCCTGTTCCACGAGTGAGCCTTCGTTCGTGTGCCGCTAACATATCATGTTCACACCAAAAAAGGCTCGCGAATGGGCTGCTGAACACCCTCGCGCTGCCATATTTATTGTACTTGTTGTAGCAGGTGTCCTGGTTGTCGTGTTTGCCAATCCTAGTCTTGTCTACGAGCCCATGCTGAATTTTAGTGGATTCACTTCCAAAGGTGTATCGAAAAGTAAGTGAAGACGTTCCTGTGACAAGCTGTTGTTTGTGGGTGCTGACCCAAGACAACTTGCCGCCAGATTCGATCGCAAGCGCAGTGCACTCCTGGATTGGAAACGTACAGGCTGGGACCTTTTTTGCCGGCTGCCAGAGTGCAGCAATGGCTGCAACTGGATATGGTGCTGCCACTCTTGGTGCTGTCACTCAGACCGGTGTCATCCTGAGTATCAGTGGTACGGCTTTGGCCAGCAAGTGGCTGGGGTCAAAAGAGCGTCGTCTCCTAGGGCCGAAACTGTGAAGTAAACGGCTGGTATGTGGCCGGTAGCCTTGGCCTCCGACATAATCCATCCTGGCTAATTCCTCTTTACGTGATGATCTATGTCCTCTTTTCATTTTGTCACACTACCTCTACATATAAGGCCGACCGTATTCCTTGCCTTGTCTTTTTTTTCTCTTTTTCTTTCAAGTTCTTCTCTCCAAATATCCCCAAACCATTTCTTCCTTCATTGAGTGATTGCGATCCCATGCAGCTATAATAGGAACTACACAAGCACGTATCTATTTCAAAAGAGTGATATGGACGGTATCTTGACTGAAGATGCTGGGATGATCAGTTACCTACCTAGATTACATCTAACGACAGGTACCTGGCCATCCCGGGTACCTACTGGAGAGCCTCTCTGACATTTGTGTTAGTGTTTAGTCGGAGGTGCAAAATGGGCAGGACAGTTTTGTCCTCGATGGGGTGCAGCAGTCGCCCAGTTTCCGGACCATGCAAAGGAGGGTGCCGTGGAGATAAGTTGACCACTTGTTAGGGTCGGGACATTGAGTGAGTCCGTTGCCTTTGGTTTACATTGAGTCTCAATTATGCTTCGGTTCTCAGACCCCATCCGAAGTATTCTCGCCAATCTCTCGTTGGCCCAAACCAGCGACCTCCTCGCGCATCTGCACTGTCATGAATCCATAGTTCGAAAGGGGCCTCCTGCACAACTTACATTGCTGACAGTCATTCGTAGTTGGCATGTCCTGCAGCAACAGTAAATCTCATCAAGCTACCTCTCACGTTGCAGCTTGGCTCCGTGTTTCGCGTTTGTGTGCCCAACCGGGCTATCATCATGCCGCAACTCACAAGAATGAACCTCTTTTTGACGCAATCATCCTCCGGAATCTTCTAGCAACCCAATAGCGTGGTTAGATACCGATTCCTGAAATTGACTGGTAAGAGAGATAGAAAACGGAAACAATGCAAAGCACTCCAGAATTCTTCCGAGACGCTTTTGGCGGTGTTCAATAACGTGGTTGACCATTCGGAACGGATGCGTCCAACCTATCTACCTTTCTCCCCTTTGTGTTTGTTTGATGCATGCATTCCTGCTAACTGGTTTGTCGTAAGGCTAGATCCCGTTTGGTCCGACCACTGACGGTACTCTCAACTTGTTGATGCCTATAAGCAAGTGTTCAGTACTCTTTGATGCTAATACGATGTTGGTTAACTTTAGTCTCCTTCGCAGCCCAATTCCCATCTCCGAATAGAGCCAAGGAAGACATCTTTGGTAACCTTTTTAAGGAAATTCGTTAATGGCTAGATATGGTACATGGCCTTTCTAACTATCATTCTGTTGATTGTCGCCGGTGGCACGGGCTTGGAAGTTTCCAATAAAGAGCGTCTTCCCTTACTTGCGAAATGGTGACGTTATCGACCGGTACGTATTAGACTCATCTCGGCCTCTCGCATGGCCGGCATTGGCTCAAATACAGGTCCAACTCACGGCCCTGCGCTGATCAACCTGCTGTACTTCAAGTTCTTGTGATGTTCAAGATATTTCTGGTCCCTTTTGGTTGTTTTTCTTTACTTCCTCCCTCCAAATATCACCGAGTTTCTCTACCTTAACGTAATAGTATCATCAGCATATGTAGCGAAAACACGCTCAAATTCGCACGCTTCTTGTCACATTTCGAGATGGAAGCCCAGGGTTCTATCGGCGGCACATCAACCACGCATGCCGGAATGGTAAGTTAGGTGGTGATGTGTATTTAACCTTCCTAACTGCGTACTGGACTAACCTCGCTGAGCTTTTACTCAGGGTTCAGTCAATATTCCGGAGTGGACGGGGCAGGCTTGTCCTGAATGGGGTGCATCACTTGCCAAACTTGCGGACAGTACGGAGGATAGTATGGATGAGGTAAATTGATTCACGAAGGTCGAGACAATGATTGAACTAGTGCCATCACTGACATGTTTGAGGTCATTCCTTAGTTTGCACCATCAGTTCACGATGGAGGTTGGGTGTCCACACACTTCCGATGTCCCCTGAAATACTTTCAAGCGTTATCAGCAAGGCGCCACACCACTCCCCAAAGGTAGGCCGGCTTGCTTTCTGAGAGCTGAATTGAGACGTAGAGTCACTGTTTACTGACTTAGCCCAACTCTAGACCTTCTTCCCCTTCGTCGCCGATAGTGTCTCAAACTCGCAGCGGACTCCTCAAGCCTTCGGTAAAATGGGTCCAGATGGCATTTTGGTACGCTCCAACTGGGAACCACAGCAAAATGTGACTATTCATTGAGAAATGAAAACTAGTAACAACATCAGTTGGACAGTTACCAATCACCTCTGGGGACTTGTACAACTCGGTTCAACCATGGCTAGCCAAGTTAGGGGAAGGGTCTACAGACGAGATCAAAAAACAGTATGAACAGGTACGTATAACAGAATTACAACTGCTGGTCTGACCACGTTGATTCATCTTTCTTGTTCAGTCTTGTTCACTATCTTCTAGGCTCGCAAGTGGGCTTGCAAACACCCCGACGCCAAGATTCTCCTGGTTCTTCTTATCGGAGGCATACTGTTCTTAGTAATCGCCTTCCTTTACCCGAGTCTGTTCTACAAACCTCTCCTCTGGGTGGTGGGATTTACATCTGAAGGCGTAGCAGCAGGTAAGTGGGCTACTTTCAAGTTTACTATTATAAAGTTGACGACAGACAACCAGTGAAGCAAGCAAATTGACAATTATGCGTCACTAGAATCTATCGCAAGTGTCATTCAATCTTGGCTTGGGAATGTCATGAAAGATGGTGCCTTTGCCTTTTTCCAGAGCGCTGCGACAGAGGGTTACGGAGCTACCGTCCTCAACTCGATTATTCGGTCTATTGCTGCAAGTCTGTTCGCCTGGGGTGGGAAAGAACTCTTCAAATGGTTCATGAGCAATGAGGATCCTTGTGCTCAAAACACAACCTAGTCTGGCAAGCTGGACGGCTTCTTGCTACATGAGTCGACTCGAGCCTTTGAGGTAACTGCCAGGAATCTTGCGAAGTTAGAACGGGCGGCTTAGTTCGCAAATCCATATGGCGTATCGCGGTCATTGCATTATGGAAGCTATATCGTGCTTGAGAGTGAATAGATCAACGAGCAACTGCTCCAAACTACTCGCCGGTATTCTCCATCACTTTTCTCGCTCAGCTACGAAAGGCGGTCCGCATTTCGGCCGGAACATGGGGTACAGCGGGAAGCCGTTTCACCATGGCATGGCTGTTGACCGTTTGTATAGGCCTAGTTTGGTTCTGATCAATCCCTGCTTTACTATCCGTTTGCAAAACCACAAGCACAATCATTGACGTGGTTCAATACAATATCGTAAAGGTGAGGCAGATTCCAAAGAGCAAGCTTCTCCTTGAAACCTACACGCATATTTCGAGGTATTTCATTACCGTCGTTACCCGTCAGTGACTTTCTGTCCACATTCAAGACCAAAATCACTCCCACAACTCCATCCAGCCCGCCCTGCTGTCGAGTGCTCTATCAGCTATTCTCCTGTCGAGACCAGTAGCCAAAATGGTATGTCCCCATCCACTCTTCTTCCTGTCGTCGCAAGTTTTTTCCTTGCTAATTTATAACTCCTTCATCAGCCAATTCCACACCTTCCACCCCTACCTGCGCTTCCAGGAGGTCTCGGAGCCGAAGGTATCCTTATGATTGCCGGGACTATCGTGACATTATATCCAGGTTTGGCGATCGGCCCTCTGTTGAATCTACTTGGGTTTGGCAAAATCGGCATTGTGGCGCAGGTCTGTAAAAATGACTTCTTATGAGCCAAGATTCCCTCTATTGTGCCGAATTTAGATGAAGCATGCTAACACGCTATTTATATTGTGTCTCAGAATCTCTGGCAGCCTGAATTCGCTCCTTTATACGGATCATCACCTCGTCAAGCCTCTTCGCTTTGCTTCAGACTGCAGGAATGAGAGGATATGGAGCGGGTATTCTTGCCAGCATAGTGAAGGCTGCTGGAGCTTCGACTGCGGTTGCTGGTGTCATTGCTGCTTTGGCCAAGTTGAAGGCTGCAGGTGGAGCGCCGACTGCGGTTCCCAGTGCTGTTCTTGCCGCTCTGGCCAAGTTGAAGGCTTGATTACCATGAGCTTCACTGGTTTTCTTTGTGCTGGGTCTACGTTGGATGTCCACATCCGGTACTCTGTAACCCTTCAGTTAGTGCTCCAGCCGCTTGAGCGCAAGTTTTTGTCTTTCTTCTTGCTTTGGCGCACCGGTTTGACGGCCAAGACTGATCGATGATGGTGGTCGCGAGGGCTGTAATTTACAGATTGGGGAGTATGGCGACTGATCTCCCTCCGCCAGGTACTTAGTCCGTAAATACTGGCTTTCGGTAGGTACATATCAGTCATTCAAGCTTCCATCCACATCTCACCACGGTCATTGCCAATTGCCGACTTCCTACATATACACATTCGAGGTCAAATTCTATTCCACAACTTCATCTTCATCCAACTTGCTTCAGAATCTCGCCAAGCCATCGCCATGTGTTAATTAGCAGCCAAAATGATATGTCCAACTTGTGGTGTTGGTGTTGTCTAGAGTCTAAACACTTCTTCGGTACTGATCTATGGCTCCTTAATAGCAGCCAGCTCTATCTCTACCGGAGCTTTCAGGAGATTATGGAACGGAAGATATCATCATGATACTTACTGGTATCCTAATTTCAGCCGTTCCTGGACTGGTGTTTGGTCCTATCTTGATGATACTTGGTTTTGGCAAACAAGGCACTGTTGCAGGCAAGTGCACTCCCGTGGCGATGACAGTGCTACATATGTGCCATAAGTTCCTCAACTACACATTACTGAGTTCAAACACACTGACAAACTACATATTCTATATTAGGATCTATGGCGGCCAAAATCCAATCTATCATGCGGATTGTGGCCTCACCAAGCGTCTTCGCTATTTTCCAGAGTGCGGCAATGGGAGGATATGGAGCGGCTATTCTTGTCAACTCAATGAAGGCTGCCGGCTTGTTGACTGCAGTCCTTCGCACTGTTCTTGCCACTTTGTCCATGTGGAGGCTTTAATTATCATGACGGCCTTGACCGGTTTCCTTCGAGCTTGATCATTGTTGGATCACCATATCCGACATTTCTACGAATTATCAGTGTGCGGCTACCTTAGCGGCACGCATAACCCGGCCGCCAACAGTAAAGAAAAAGTTCAAACCGAAAGCGTTGAGAGTGCTTGTCATCCAATGGTCGATGCCGTCAACTGCGGGCTGCCGACAACTCATCCTTCTGTCCCTGCCCCCACCGGGTCGGGCCAGTCAATGGCCGCTCCCGCCGGGCCTCCGACAGGACCTTCAGTTACCAATAACATGTGCCGGCGCGTATCGGACAATTGCAATACCACTATAACAACATCCTGCAACCCTCCGTGGGTTTTTCTTTGTGTCAACCCCAAAATCTACCAACAAAATCCATCCACAATCTCGGGAGGCGCACGGACAAGACAGCAAGATGGCGCCCTGGGACATTCTAGGAGGTATGCTCGCTCAGAAAGCAGAAAAGGCAGGCAGCATCAATTCACTTATCCCAGTACCCGACAGCTTTTGACTGATGATTGAATTGCTGTTCACAGATTTCGACCGACGCATTGCAGTGGGCAAATAATTTTCTTCCGCAGGCCGAAGCAGCCGTGAGCAACATAGCAGGCGATGCGAAGAAACATGCCGAACAAGTGAGGATAATTGCTACCTATATCGAGGTTGCTGATGGGTTGGTCGGCGCGCTTGCTAACCAATGCTCACTTGGGGACTAGTTCTCGGCAAATGCTGGAGATTGGGTTAACCAAAACCTCCCTATCGCGGCTGAGACGCTCGCAGATATTCTTGACAACGCGAAGAAACATGCCGAGCACGTAAGAGAATAACTCTAGACTACGTATCTTGTGACAGATACTTGAGGTTCCTTGTTGACTCAGTCCGTTTTCCAGGTCTCGATCCAGTTGATTTGGAGTGGTGCCCCGAAAAACTCCCAAGTTATTCTGGGCAATGATGGCGAGACTGTTGAACTGGTACGGCCATCCAATCCCACAACCTGGATCGACAGTTTGACGTACAGTATCAGATCGGCTTGGCTAACAAATAGCTTGCCTTCGTCTAGATCCCAATTACTGTCTCCGAGTGGGCAACGAACATTCTCCCTTGGCTTGTTGAGACGGGAAAAGAACTTGCGGAGAGTGCCAGGCTCGAGTTTGAGAAGGCTCAGAAGTGGGCGTTGGAACATCCCACCTCCACGGTCTTCATCGTCCTAGGAGTCGCAGGCCTCATCATCTTGGTTGCCTACCCAGGATTGTTTTACGCACCTTTGTTAGACGCCTTGGGATTCACTTCGGAAGGAGTAGCTGCAGGTAAGGAGACGGCTCCTTCGCTCGCCCCAATACTGTCCATGTACATACTGACACTCTAATTCCCTGATTATCAGAATCCATTGCAGCAGCAATCCATTCCACCATCGGCAACGTCAGTCCTGGAAGTGTCTTTGCATTTCTTCAAAGTGCTGGTGCGGAAGGCTACGGAGCCGTTGCTCTCGATGCTGCCTTACGAACGGCTGGAGCCACAATCATGACTGCTGGCGCTGCAGATCTCATTCGGCAGTGGATGGAGAAGTTCAACGGTGAAGTGCCTGTGATTGAGATGGGAGGACTGTGAGATCTGTACTCACTCGAATAAGCCTTGAACAACTGCAATGTCTGGGTTTACTGGCTCCTTGACGACCTTCGAGTCCTTTCGTGCTCAGCTTTGCTATTGCTCAGGGGCTAGAAATGTTATGTGGCCTCTTGCGGTCAGTTATACACCAGGAGGAGAGCACTTACCCAGAAGCCTCTTCCACGTCTTCCATTGAATTGAAAACATCACGGCCCCGTTTGCTCGCTGCAAGATGCCCGAGTTGCGACATCTCCACTTTGAGCATCGAATAATAACCAAACAATTGCAGTAGCGTGAATGTTGCGCGAAATCTTACATATATTACCAGTCTGCTCCATCATCCGAATATACCTCCCCTTCACTGTTTTCCACATTTCATCATTATCATCATCATCTTCTTCTTCACTTTCCTCCCCCTGTTCTTCACTTTCCTCCTCCTCTTCCTCACTTTCCTTCTCCTCTTCATCTTCTTCTTCCACATCTTCTTCCGCATCACCACTCGGTTCATCATCACCATCACCATCATTGTCTTCATCTTCTTCTTCGCCGTATGCATATTCCACTCCCCCATCTCCTACCTCTTCGGCGTATGATTCTTCGGCATAGGCATACTCCTCTCCATCGTATTCCCCTTGAGCACGACCCTCTTCAGCATAACCTTCTTCAGCATATCCATCTGTCTTCGCATCTTCCTCGGCGTACTCTCCTTCCTCATTTTCATCTCTATCCCCCTCACCCTCGTAGCTATCTTTATCATCATCGTCCTCCTCATCTTCATGCCATTTTCCTCGTTATATTCGTTATCTTCCTCGTGGTCATCCTCATTTCTGCCGTGATAAGTGCCGACGACATGTTCTTCATAACCATACCATTCTCCTTCATAGACATATCTTTCCCATCCAGAGTACGAGTAGGTTTTTGCTTCTGCCGGATATGACTTCTCCTCCTCCCTCCTTTCTTCTTCTTCTTCTTCTTCTTCTTCTTCTTCGTATGCGGCAGTATCGTCGTTACCAACTTCTTCTTCATAATCATCGTCATACTCCTGCTCTTCCTCCTCGTTGTCGTCGTCATATTCCGCTCCTTCTTCCTCTTCACCACCTTCATCCTCGTGAGTATATTGATACCTAAACTCACCCACGACAGGCCCCCCTCCTACAACCACTTCTTCCTCCTCCTCATCTTCTTCTTCTCCCTCCCATTCATCATCTTTATATCCGTCCTCATTATAACTACTACTGTAGTAATCTTCACTTTCTACCTCGTCCTCCTCATCCTCATCCTCATCACCGTCATCCACCCAGCCATCATCCTCATCTTCATCCTCATCATCAATATCTTCCTCCACCACACCATGGACACTACTACCATGACCACCGTTTTGGTATTCGTCTTCCTCATGGTAAACTTCAGAAGAAAAAGAAGACGCAAATAACGCACCACCGGCAGTTAACCCGCCAGCTAAAATACTGATACTTGCGCCTGCTGCTGCTGCTGCCATCATTATGGTTGTGTTGCTGTTGCTGTTTGTTTGGTTGTTGAGGGAAGGCGACGCTGGATGGTTGTCGATGGTTATGCTGCTGCTCGTGCTGGTGTTGATGCCAGCGGCGGCAGCGTGATGATCCGATAAATCATTATCACCACGAGTGCGAGTAAAAGCTCGGGTCTGATCTTGATGTTGATTGGCAATGGCGGTTGGTGCTTGAGTGTATGCTGCCGGCGGTGGTACTGCTGCTGGGTAGCTCAAGCCAGAGCCGGCACTCCCAGCTTGAACCCCATGATAAGCGGGATCGTATGGCGTTTGGTGGTTGTAAGCACAGCTAGTCCCAGTGGATTCATCGCCCTCTCTTGACTGTGTAGAGGCACGGAGACCTGTGGAGGATGGATCTTCCTCCCTAGCATGATTTGGCGAGGAACTGCTGGTGACTCGATCACTGCGATGGCCACCAGACGGCTTCTCAGAACTTTGCATCTGCTCTTGCTGTTTGTCCTTAGAGGTATCATTCTTATCGTTCTGTTGGGTTGGTCTGTCCCCATTTGGCAATGAAATGGGCTGTCCTTGCTCTTTTGAATGACTGATGTTCCGCTTTCCAGAAGAACTCGCTTTCTCTCGTCCATGATTGGATGACTGAGCACCAAAGCCAGGAGAAGACGAAGACGGGTTCCCCGGAACGGATTGCTTTTTGTCTTTGTCCTGACTGCCACGAAGCCAATTTGGGATCTGCCACTTTGACTTTCCATCACTCTGGCTTGATGTAGATTGTTTCCCAGAGTAGCAACTACCAGTGTGAGAGCCAGGTTGCCCGCCGGAGCTGTCGCCCGAGTGACCAACAGGAGCCCCATAAAAGCCAGAGTGGGTGGCGGACTGAATAGAGGTACCTGAGTGACTGACATATTGGCTAGCCCCATGGTGACTACTACTGGCGTGACTGCTACTGGTGTGAATGCTACTGGTGTGACTGCTACTGGTGTGACTGCTACTGAAGTGTCCGTAGGAGTGCCCACCGATGTGCGGACCCAAAGCCGAGCTCCAGTGAGACCCAGAATAACCCCCAGAATGACTCCAAGAGTGCCCATAGGCACCAGAGTTCAAGCCAGACCCGCTAAAGGGCTTTGGATCAAATGATGACGGCTTCCCGTGACTGGACTATGGCTTTGGGGTACCAGAAAAGAATGACGACGATGAAGCAGAAGCACCAAAATTCGACCCCTCACCCTGCCGCCCAACGGGTTGCCCCCGAGTAACCTTGGACTTGGTACTATCGCCTCGGTTGTACGAGAATGAGAACTGAGGCTGGAACTTCCCCGAGGCTTGGAGCTGCACTTTCGGCGCGAACTGGTATCGTTCTGCCTGCGTATAGGCAGCTTTAAATTTCGTTTTGGGGGCGAGACTGGTTGATACTGTGAGCTTAGTGTTGACTGATTTGTTTGGTTGGACGGTCTCGTCTTCCGCAACGGTAGAAGAAGGCGATGCTGCTGGTCTTGGCTTTTCGGGCTCGCCTTTTGAAGTCACTGGTTTTGGTTTTGGCTTTGACTTCAGTTTGGGTTGTGGTTTATCCTTGCTGTCGGTCTTTTGTTTGGATGGATTCGGTCTTGGTTGTAGACTAGCTTTACCCTGTGTCTGCTTGCCACTCATTGAAGTGGAAGGTGTTGGGCCCAGATCTGTTTGTATTCTGGCAGGCCCGGGGTTTTGTGTTGGGCGAGAAGAAGGACGTTGCGTTTGATCGCATGGGTAAACATGACCTCCCAAACTGGTATCACATTGGACGTAGTTTCTCCCACCGTCCGGACGTAAAGACGACGGATGTCCTTCAGAGTTGGTAATGGGTTCTGGGTGATGTACGAGCAAGGAGTCCTCCGGGTTCCGATCGTCGTTGAAAGGCTGTTGTTCTTCGATGATCGGCAGCAAAGACTGGATGTGCTCTTTGTCGGCTTCGAATTAATTTTCGGAGAAGTTGTACTGATTTGCTCTTGCTGAAGATTGCGGGTTGCGGGCGCTCGGGGTGCATATGCCGTGAACGAGGGTTGTTGTATTGCTTGAGTGGCAGATGTGCTTTGGATCGATGCAGAGCTTGTGATTGAGAGATTCACGTTGGTTGATTTGAGCATTGGGTTCTTGGGGAGAAACGGCAACTGCGATGGAGTGTTGCCATCATGGTGGCTGGCGGGAACTGGTTTTCTGAGCGTCGAGGTGTTTATGGCTGGTGAGAGGAAATTGATATTGCTTGTAATGCTTCCTTGGACTGCCATCAATGGTATGGGCGAAACTTTCTTCACCGGACTTTGTACCGTTGCTCCCTGCTTTGATGATGTCGTGGTCGGCGCAGCGTCATCTTTCCCAGTATGCCTCTGCGGCCGCTCCTGGCCGCTAGGCTTGACAGGATGCAAATCCGCATCATAAAGTGCGCTTAGAGTATCTAATTGGTGACTACCCAGCAGGGAGTTGATGGTCAAAGATGCTGCGGATGATAGCCTCTTCTCGTTGTTCGGTGGTGGTGGTACGCGCTGAGGCTGACTCTGCCCGGCCGGAACAATGCTCTTTGTCTGTGGCGCTTGGGGTTTTGAAGGCATGGGTCCTTCCAAGCTATTCTGTGCAAGTTCAGGCTCTTTAAATGTACGAACAAGCGTCTTTAATGGGATCTTTGGATCAGTCGCAACCACAGAAGTAGGTCCACTCAAGGATTTTGAGGACAACGGCGATAGTTCTGTTAACAAGTGTCAGCTCACGATCCTCGTCTTCGGGTACCTAACTGGTCTCACCATTTGCCTTGGAGGTATTCCCCTTCTTCACAACATCCATCAACTCTCTCCAAAAGCACTGGTAATGCTCATCATCACGGCTGCTGAACTTTCCAACTGAATGGTGACTGTGCCCAACCGTCTTGATGCGCTTCTCCCTCTTGGACAGAATCCCAATAAAAAGAACGAACGGGTTCTTGATCTCAGCTCCTGCTCCCTCAGGACCGGTGTTCATACCGATGTTTTCGCAGAAAGAGAGGATCCGGATCTTGGTTGGTTTGACATTTGTCTTGAACAAGACGGGAATGGCCTGCAGTTCCTTGTAATGTCTGACTAACCACGATTGGTACTCTTTGATGAGAGATTTACAATCAGAATGAACGCCGGAAGAAGGGACTGGCGCAAGCTGGTCCTTCAGCTGTCGCAGGTTTCGATGTGGGATGCTGAAGAACACGACTGCTTTGACGCTATCTCCAAGTCGTGAGAACCTGGAGTCCGGGCTGATCATACGGTTGAGAGCCTGGATGCACCGTCAGAACTTAATTTCTCCTTAATGGGTTGTCATAAAATCACGTACCGCGCCAACAATCAGGCTGCCTAGCTCCCGACAGACGAAGACGAGTGGTCCAGCCGGAGGTACTTGTTCGCGCGCAGAGGCAATCTGGCTGACAAGATCCGTCACTGCGCTCTCAAATACTTCCCAGTTGCCGGTAAAGACCGCTTTGACTTCATAGCTGTAACTCAATACTCTTGCATCAGGGTAATCTCTGGTAAGCAGGTCGCTCAACCACATGGTGCCCTGATCAGGAGCTGTCCACGGCCTTTCAGTGACCAGGTGAAAACCGTGGACAGCAATTATGTCGACGATAATCCCCTTGGTCTTCCTTTGGGGATTGTACAGACAAACCAGGCTTCCGTTGGCGCTTAATGGAGGACTCATTTTGACATCGAGACTCATCTTGAGCTCATGTGATCTGGAAAAGTGTTTATGGTGGATAGTTTGAGACCAAGTCGAGGAAGATGCCGAATGATGATCAGATGGGAATGAATTTTCGGGAGATATAGCGTCTTGATGTGAGGGAGAAGAGTGGTGGAAGTGTCAACGGAGAGTGTCAACCGAATAGGGAGAAAGTAGACTATGAGAAGATGACAAGGAACAGGCACACTTGTGCAGAGTACCAACGAAGCCAGAACAACGTGGCCAACGCCAATATCGACCAGTGCTTTTTCCCCAATACAGCCCGATATATGCAGCTGGAGGGCTGGACTTCTCCAACGATGGATGATGCATCATAATACATTCCAGTCCTAGAATGTTTGTTAGTTCTGCACCGGAGAACGCCCAATCCTATTCGGACTGAACCCCTAAACCTTAACACTGTCGACGGCTAGATGCTGTAGGATCAATGACCCAGTGATATTTGTTTAAAGTAGTGTGTATATCCTTGTTAATTCAAACTGAGACCATCATGGAAGTCAATGAGCACTTTCGATGCTTCCCCGTCTACCCCAGGCATGAGAAGGATGGCTCTAATCAACATGTCAGTGTTGATTGTACTTCAACAATCTCGGATCATGCGTCGTTGAAATTTCGATGTACGGGTTCACGACCCAAAATTAGTACCGTATATGATGTTCGAGAGGGAATGGGAAGCCAGTTGTGGCGTTCTTTCAGGCTCCTCAACCTGCGGGTCTGCTTCAGCAGAACGACTTCATTGCAGCAGGCTGCTTTGGTTGATGGCAGTGATTGACACCCTTCATCACCTGTGTAATGGGTCTGGTCAACCGGCGAGGAACCCGTCGTGAACTAAAACAGCATAAGTCAGCGTATTTCCAAGCTGTCGGCTTCGCCCTGAAACACCGCAGACTATCGTGGGACTCCGTCGCACGTATCATTGGGGTCTAAAGGGGGTCAGTGGTCTAGTAAGGCTGTCGAGGCTGCAATACGGAAGGAAGACGACATGCAAACTAACCCTGCGATATTTCGCTGGCGTCCCTACGGGTCTACGAGGCGCTTCAGAGACACCGAGCTGCAGAGTGAGAATCCAGCGATAGAAGCTTGACATTGAGGTAGCCGGTGCGGAAGGTTGAATGTTGACTAGAAGGTGCAGAATGGGTTCTATTCTGGGCGTCGATGTTAATTTGTGAGAGTGCTGCCGGCTCACAGATGAGCGGATAGTTGCAAACATTCCGCAATCCGTGGTTCTTAAAGTGTTTCAGGTAGCGCGAGCATGTTGGATGAATCCTTCGAAATCCTGAATGATGGACCCTGTTAACAAGAAATGACAGAATATCCAGCTGCCCAGTCTTTGGTTGACATGCCAGCAGATCTCCCATTCCCATGCCTTAAAATGTCACCACGTCCCCATCCGATTTGTCGTTCTGATTCCCATCAGCTCAGACACCAATGATGTCCGCCAATCCCGCCCAAAGACCCGTACAAAGCCAGGGTGTGAAGAAGACCGGCCTGAACGTCGTTGTGACGAACCGTTACAAGCACAGGAGTACATCGCTGGTATGTAGGACAACGGTAGTAGTAGCCAAAAGGTACTGGTTGATTGAGAAAGCTATTGCTTGCTGAAGAACCATAATAACGAAGGCCGGGAGGCCTTCTTATATACTGGTCTTCAGCCCCGTCCCGTGGTCCCGTAAACTCGGGACCTATCTGATTGGTCAATTCTATCTAGATACATGAGGCTCAATGATTGGATCGTAATAGTCGTCAACAAGAAAACAAAGTCAACGGCCAGTCTCGTGTCCTCTGTACCATGCCAGAACTGCATCCATCCTCCATTGCAGGCACAAGGACACCACAGGTACCACTCGGTCCCCTCAGGACCAGTATATGAGGCCCGTAGCCCCGAGAAAGGTGGCAACCACTCCTACAAACAGAAACTCAAGGGCATGGGCAAAAAGAAATCCGCCTTGGCCTTAACCCTTGCGATCCTCGTTGGCATATCGTATCTCGGCGGGATCATTCTCGGTAGTAAGTTGAGCCCTCTGAACTTCTCTAGACCCATAGCCAACCTGTTTAATCTGACGCTCTTTCCACTCCCGCCCTCATCACTCTGGGTTGTGCCACCCCTACCGCTCCCCTGGGACACCTTCATCTGCTTGAGCTCCGAGAAAACAGTACCAACTCTTCTTCCGACGGAGCCTACGACATCCGTCTCCGTGTCGGCTACTTTGGTGAATGTCTCACAGTCGTCAACGCCACGACCAATGGCATCAAGGAAGAGAAAGAAGATCCACAAATCAAGTGCCCCTTCAACATGCGCTCCTACGACATCAACGACCTCGAAGAGGAATTGTGGGAAGACTTCGATTTTCCCCCAAACAGCACTGCTCTAGCCGCCGTCGAAGAGGCGGTCAAGCGAATGCTTCCCATGGTCATACAGGTGCAAAAGAACGCGCTGTTACCGGCGCTTCCAGTCGTTGCTACCGCCTTCTTTTTGTGAGCGGCGTCATGTTGCTTGTCGCCACCACGGCCACCTCTCATAAGCGCCGGTACAAAGGGAGCTTGTTGACTGCTGCATTGTTTGGGGCTTTTGCATTTGGGTTGACGCTTACAATGGCTGTTGGGACACAGCAGGCGACAAGCTCAATCTTGTGGGCCGTGAATGGCGACGATGATGGGTTGAATGCCGGACATGGCAAGGTGGTTGTTGAGAGAGGCATTGTGTTAACTGGCTTTCTTTCTGGCTTTGCGTTTTTGGTGGCTTTCTTTTATGCGATGATGGGTGTGTGGTTTGTGAGGAGGCGGCAGTAATATGGTTGATAGTGCCGCGGATGGCCGTTCATATTATTAAGTTCCTTCTGCCATGAATAATAATGAAGTGTCCGCTGGTTTGTAAGCCTCGAGCAGTCACAAAGAGGGGCCTAGCTTTCTGACGAGCCCTGTGTTCCCTCTTGCTCATATGCGAAAAACGGCATCTTGCAGTTATGACGTTAGCAGTAGGTGTGGTGCACAAACCTTTTCAAGCGTTCTCACTCGACACAGCGCGGTTCCGTCTGTTCACTGCCAGAGGCCCGGATTTGCTTTTTCTGCACCGAGGCCTACTACGACATCTCCACTTTGAGCATAGAACTGAGTGGTAGTTTGCCCAGATGTCTATGACGAAACCGTCCAATCCCCTGTAACGTTCCATATCAGTATTTCTTCCCAATGCGACCTTCAATCTCTCTGATCTGGTAACCTTCTACCTCGAATCTCAACCACCCCCCAATAACCGAGAAAAGATGGATTTTGGCAAGATGATGGACGATGCTGGCAAAGGCTTCGATGAGTTCGCCAATAACGCAGGGAAGAGCTTCGAAGAAGCTGGTAAGGGAATGAACGATTTTGGAGAGAATGCGAAGAAGCAAGTGGAAGAAGCTGGCAAAGGAATGGGCGAATTCGGAGAGAATGCGAGGAAGCAGGCGGAAGAAGTGGGCAAAGGGGGCGACAAGTTGGGGAAGAATATATCTCAAACCTTTTCTGAACTTGTTGGAAACGCTTTGAAGCAGGCCGAACAGGTACATACAGACCGGTCTTTCTTTGTCTTGGTTCACCTGCAAGCTGACTCGCATCCTATTCACAGATTATTGTCAACCTGGCCAAGGAGGTCTCGGAAGATGTGAAAGACGCTCTTGGCCTAACAGAGGATGCCAAACGCGAGGTTCCGCTTGTATGTTGTCTTCCTTCCCTCCTGGTTTACACCCTACAAGAACCACTTGCTGACAAGTGCATGTTCAGGTGGCCGTCAAAGTATCAGACTGGGCATCCAACATCCTGCCGGAATTGGTCAAGGCAGCTGGAGACCTTGGTGAGAGTGTCAAGGAGCAAGTCAAGAAGGTGACTTTCTTCCATGTCTTCTTCCAATTTCTGAACAAGTGCGCAACTGACCTGGCCAACTCACCGATAGGCCCAAGACTGGGCTGCAGAAAACCCAGATGCCATGATGTACATCATGGTTGGCGTGGCGGGTATCATCATCCTCGCGACATCCGGCTTACTCATGACACATGTTTTGGGTGCCATCGGGTTTGGTGCTTCAGGTATCGCGGCAGGTAAGAGAAACTCAAGGAAAGGCGAATCCTTTCTCTCATCAGATGTGTACTGACACTCGCCCTTTGTTTTGTTAGGGTCCATGGCAGCAGCAATCCAATCTGGCATCGGAAATGTCGCGGCTGGAAGTGTTTTTGCTGGCCTCACGAGCGCAGCCATGGATGGTCTCGAGGGTACAGTCATTGCAGGTGTTGGTCAAGCTATTGGAGCGGCCATGGCGGCGGGTGGTGCTGCTGGTGCTGCTTCGAAGTTGATGAACAGTGAGTAGTGCTTCGAGAGTTCTCAAAGTATGATAACATTTGTTTCTCGAGGCGCCAGAGATGGAAACGAACTCGGGCGAATAGGTAGCATCTGACAATCTACCAAGCGTTCAAGAGTTAGCAGGGATGCTGATGCCGAGAGATTTAGTGATTGGACGTGGGAGTCCCGGAATGACAAACGCGCGACGCAGGTGGCCATGGTACTGCTCAATCTTGTTAGTCTATGTCAAATCCCAATCGAAAAACTGTTGGTATCATACGACGAAGAGTTGTGGGAGATGTGGAAAAGCTAAACAACAGATTTCCTGCGTTTGAAACTTCCTCTGGTTTGTTGAGTGTCGTGGTTGTTCTTTCTCCACGTGCCAATTGGACATCGAAATCGCCACCGGCAGTCACTCCTTCCTGTATGGTAGTCACTGGAAGCTGCAACGAATGAGCTGCACAAAGGCCTACAGCGGGCAGCGACGTCACGCACATGCGACACGGGACGAAGAATGCCACTGCAAGATCAGTGCGCATAACTGACATTGAAAGATCCGCCCGCTCCTTTCCTCCTTCTCAACCCCTCGACTTGTTCCTGCCAATGTTCGATTCGTGACCACGACACTCGCCATTCACTTCAGATCACACCATAATATCACCCATTATCTCATTACATCCAATAATTATCAGAATGGCAGGGTTCCCTTGGGATGAGGAAGAATGGGATGGCCTTTCTTCGGAGGAGAAGCGTGAGAAAGTCAGCTACCCATTCGAGCATCATCATTGTCTTATCAAGCACAGAAGATGCTGAATGACATCGTGGCACTTCAGATCAAAGATTGGATTAAAAGAAACCGCACCACAGCTGCGAGCATTGGACTAGGTCTAGCAGGAGCCACGATAGTCGCTGCCCCTTCCCTGGTCACGGCACCTTTTGTGGGTATTTTGGGCCTGGTTGGCTTTGGATCTGGCGGAATTGTCGGAGGTAGGCTGCGAGCGTCTATCAAGCCATCTACGTTATTGACTAACAACTGTGCAGGTTCTTTCGCAGCAGGAGCCCAAGCAATGCTTGGGAATGTCGTTGCCGGAAGCTGGTTCGCCTCTGCCACGAGCGCCGCCATGGGCGGCTACGGACTCGCTGGACTTACTACTGCCGTTCAGTCAGCTGGGGTATACACATCTGTGGCTGGGCTTGTCTCTGGACTCCTCAATGGGAATGGACACGAAGGTGACGATGAGGATGGCAATGCGGAGACCTCTACAGATGAAGCTGGGCCCTCAACCCCAAAAGGGCCCAAGGATGACAGAGACGGATCTGGTGCGGAGATAACTTCCCGTGCGAGCCAGGAAATACCACGAGAGAAGGACTTCGACGAGGAGACCACATTGTTCGATGACTCCGGCGCCTCTGATGAAGATTCATTCATACAAGTACCGGAAGCTTCTCCAGTCGGTCGGCGGATTATCATAGATCTTTGAGAAGGTTGACTACTGGGCTTCTAGAAGTACCACACAGCTAAAATGGGCACGTCGTCTGTTTGGATGTACGATTAACCATAGGATCGCTGACGGTAGATAAATACAGTACTGTAGGCCCAAACGAAACCTCGAAGATAACGTGAAATCCACAAATGCGAAAGCCCTGCAGCGGGCCGTTACCAAACGGCGCGTGTCCAACGGTGGCAGGAAGTGCACCTCTCTACATGTACATATGAGACTTCAGGAATATATAAGAGTGACTTCCCCCCAGTCCGGCATCGAAGATATTTGCCCATCATAAAGCGGTGCCTCGTCCTCTTCCCGGTTCGCAGCCTCCATGTCTATATGGTTCCCTTTCTCTGTTCTCTCTGTTGTCCACGATCTTTTCCATCACTTCCAATCCTTCACTGCCCCGATCACCGATATGACTCAAAGAGTATACTATACCCGCTGTTCGTGCGCGGCAGGAAGGCTTTCAGTATCCGATAGGCAGGGCTTCCTCATGGTTCACATACATCTGCCACCTCACGACGAATCGAACGAATATCCACCCCCTTCGGATGTTGATATGACGCGACAGAACGACCATATACCATGTCAATGCTCGACCGAACGCACTCATCTTCATGGACGGCCTGATATTATCAGTGTCCATTTTGATGGATTACCTCCGACGAATGCGGGTGAACCTGTCGCCTCAACGACGGTTGCTACCCCGAATCCCGACACACGCGAAGGGCTTGATTTGTGTTGGGCTGTAAAGAGAACAACTGATTCAAAAGCGACAAAGGTGAGCTTCACGTCTCTCTTGTACAAGAAATGCTTGACAGTTGACTCAAGGATACCTCTATACCATTAAACCCCAGTGACGTACTCCGTTCTCACTGAACTTCTCTTTTACTCTAGGATGCACCTAATGACGATGGTTATATCGCACTGGCTGCGACTGGCGTCGTTGTTGGTGCCGTTGTTGGTATCGTAGGTGTCGTGGCCGCGGCACCTTCCTTCGTTCCCGTCATAATTGCTGCCGGCCCTTCGGCCGCCATGAAATCAGCCTGGTGGGCCTGGAAAATGGCAATGGGGGTTAAAGGAGGTAAGACGCACTTCTATTTCCGACTCACACCACAAAGTCTTCAAACTTGAGGCTAACGACTATGATTAGCTTCTACAATTGCTTCACTTGCCTATGCTGGGAATGCTGCGTTCAGAACCATATAGCCTGACCATGAACAGAACGGCAGACATGGTGTCGATCATCTGAATAGGTTCAACAACAACACCAATCATCCTGTTTTCCTTCATTAGAGAAGCCCTTGTAGACTTTTGGGTCGCGGATCAAATGGTACATCCAGAAGGATTGGCCTAGGTGACGAAGCTACCGAGTTGTTGTAGGTATCAAACAGATCTTATTCGTTTTCAACTGCATATGGGCGCTTGCTGCAGGCCGCCTTGCACATGCAACTCATAGGTACAAACTCATGTACATGTGAACGAGCATTGATGCGGGGTACATACCTGTAGGCAGCTGTGCTATCTCGGAAAGACATCAAATTTTCATCTTGTTCCTCCTGGAGCAATGTTATCGGCCATCGTATCAACTGCCCCGGGCTGGGTTGATGGATCAACAACACCACTGCTTCGAGGAGCAAAAAGACTTCGAGACCTAAAGACCTAACAGCTACTTCCTGTACCACCGAGAGCCACTGTCACACCTATCACTGCCTAGGCGATCTTCGCCGGCCAATGTCCGAATGTGACACGGAATGTTCATGACCATAGGTATAAAGGCATCTTCGCTTCCCAGTTCCCGGTCCCGCACCACATCTTTTTCACTTCCGACGCCCTTGTCACGATAGACCCTAACCATAACCACTCCAAGTCGCGACATCATCAGAATCGAGCCCTGTCAGACCAACGGGGATCAAGATGACCGAACGCAAGATTCCACCAGGGGAACCCGACAATAAGGTCCCCCAGGAGCCATCCAAAGACGAGACCTCTGCCTCCGCCGAAGAAGTCCCCGTGGAACGTAACACGCCATCGACCAACGATCCTCAGAATGACCAACCGCAGCCCGATGACCCCGACTTGCTAGAAAAGATAAGATGGGTAAGTAGCCTTTCAGGCCTGAAGCAGAACAACAGCAGCTAACACCGACCTCTCTCGTATCTACAGGCCAAAGAATGGATCAAGCAAAACCCCAAAGCCGCAGCAGCTCTCGGTCTGACAGCCGGGGGACTGACCGTCGTCGCAGCTCCCGCGCTGCTGACCGGGCCGGTGTTGAGTTTTATGGGCTTCGGTTCCGGCGGGGTTGTAGGAGGTACGTGTATATCCCCGTCTCTTGGCGACGGATGCTCCATCCTAATATTTTGGGCTCAGTGTTTGCGTCACTGCCCTATACATTCTTGAAAACGAGGGTTTGACCGTTTCGCTTCCACATAGGGTCTATCGCGGCTGGCATCCAAGCGGCGATAGGTAACGTCGTGGCTGGTAGCTGGTTCGCAACCGTTACGAGCGCTGCGATGGGAGGGTATGGAGTCCCTGTTGTTGCGGCTGTTGGGCAAGGGATCGGGGCGGGTGCGGCTTTAGTGGGCGGTGCGTATGCTACGAAGGAGTTGAGGAAGGAGAAAGAGGGCGAGGAAGCGGACGAGGCTAAGGATGAAGGTGGCGAGGTTCCTCCGAATGACCCAAAGAACGATGACGATGATGAGGTAGGTACAGAGAAGGAGAAGGCCTCTCGTTGGAGGCAGAGCGGGCTGGGTCGCAGAGATTTCGACGACGAGTCTACTTTGCTGGATGACTCTGACTCTGAAAATTCTAACGAGGATTGGCATCCCTAGGAAGGGCGCCCTACGTATCGCAAGATTCTTTCGAGTTTGTTATTGAGTTACAATCTAACCCTGGTTTGTTTGTTAGTTTGGTATAAAAAAACGCCTTTTTCCTACCGAAAGAGAAGAAGGGCATTCAGGCTTCGAGTAGACGGATGCTGAAAGAGGAAACTACTCTCTTATACCTTCCAATCTTAAGGGCCTTAAAGGAAACGGAGAAAGGCATCAAAATAGACGGAGAGGGGTAGAAAAGGCTTCTGTGGCGTCTTGACCCCTTGTTATTGTCTTATAACGCTTTAAACGGAGGCCATTTTCACTCTTTAGAGGCTAATGAGAGCTTCAAATCTGCTCTGCTCAACCCTTGCCCGAAGAACCAAATTGACAAACAAACTAGTATTGAATTATAGAAATCGATCTTAGACAGAACCTGACCGGGGTTGTAAACCAGTCTCTTGCCTGTCGCTCTTGCCCGACGCTCCTCTCCTGCGTGCCCACCTGGAAAATCCCACCCGCAGCCACCCCGCGTCATCCCAACCTCAACCCCGTTTGGAGTATTTAAGGTCCCTTAGCTGGCCGATCTTCTGTGGTGTGGCCCGTTGGTGTAAATCGTAACATTCCTGGCGAGGTAAATCTTCGTCTGCATGCGTGCCGCAGGAAGACAACGGTTCGAATCCGTTACGGGCCGCATCCGACTTTTTCCCCCCTTTTCTTCTTTCTTCCTTTTTGCTTTTTTTTTTCTCTGTTGGCACCACAAACAACGGCTAACTAGCTTAGCTAGCTAGCAGCAGCCAACTCTTTCTTTTCTTTGCTTGTTGATAGATAGATCGAGCGAAACTCAAACTCAAATTCATCCATTCTTTTCGTCTTCAACTTGCATGCCTGCTGGAGGATCCCGTCACTGAACGGCGGCTCGTGCAACCAACCCTTTCAGACTTTCACTCGGTGCTCCTCCTCCTATAAACCAACACAACCTCCCCCTCCTCGACCAGCTTCCCGTCCTCTCCCTCATCTCCCAAGTCCTCCCTAACCCCCCATCCCTCCAACACCTTCTCATACTCCTCAACATCACACCGCGGTCCAATCCAAACTACCACTTCTAGCTTTTCCGCGTTGCACTCTTCCAAATACCTCCCCATCAACCCCCCACTCCGCGGATAAACAAAAACCAGCCCGCCCGTCTCCTTTAGGATTTCCCCGCCTACCAGCGCCCACGTCCCTGGCACTGTGACAGTGTTCTGCTCTGGTAACCAAGTATTCACTTCCTTTCCTTCCTTTAATTGGGAAAGTGGAGGGGCTACTTCCACGCCGTAGAAGAATGAAGCGCGCTGAGGGTAGTGGTGCAGGAAGAGGGCTTCGAGCAGGCCGGGGCCTGAGCCGATGGATAAAGAGAGGGTTGGAGGTGGTGGCAGGACGCGATTGAGAAGAGAGAGGAGGGGAAGGGAGAGGGAGGCGCAGGAGGTTGGGTGCCGGGATGGGGTGGTGGTTATTATTGGAAGGCCGGTGTTCATTTTTGTTGATGGTGGTGGTGGTAATCGAGAATAGGGTTGTGGTGTTGTTGGTTTGTTGACGTTGAGATAGACGTTGGGAGGTTGAATGGTGGATCTGTTGAAAGAGGAGCTAAGAAAGGGGAAAGTGGAGACTGTAGCGGTTGCCCCTGGAGATATTTGTTTGGGTTACAATGTTTTTTGTTGGTGAGCACTGTGTGAACAGGAAACACGTTAGTTGTTTGGGAGAGTGTTGTTGGAAAACAGATACAAAAATTGGAACCGAAAAGTTTCGAGAAAGTTTCTCCACCGTGGCGCTGATTGGTAGAGGGGTCTGGGATTATAGACCGTTGCACGACTACCCTTCAGCATCTACGTGTGATTCTACACGGAGATATATTATGAAATGGCTTCAGTCGGTTTTAACAAGTTCATAGAAGGATCATAACTTCATGACTGCGTTAAAATCCCCAAGCAAACTCCATGAGGCATCCCGATCCACCTTTCCCATGAAAACCTCCCTGTAACCTAGCCATTCACAACCCCACAGTACTAACATTAGCGTCCCGATCAGCCAGGGCCGACCACTTATGCCCCTTCCGTCCCCGTCATCAACTCCCCACCTGCGCATCCTCCTTCTTCAACAACCTCTTCCGATTATACAAATCCGTATTCAACACATTCCTAAACCCCCTCTCCCTCAACTCCTCCTGCACCTTACTAACCAACCAGCCCTCTCTCAACCACCCATCCACCTCCCTGCTCACCTCCGCCGGCAACTTCCTCGCTCGCGGATCGCTCGTCTGGTCCGGCGACGGGCCATGATTATGCGTCTTGTGCTCTTCGTTCGGGTAAATGCAGCTCCACAGATCGGACCCCTTGGCCGTCTCAATCACCTCGAACTTAAACAGACACCCGCACTTTTTCGAAGTGCGATCCGTGGTGGGTTTCCGTCGGCCTTCGGCCTTGGCGGCCTGGATCACCGACTCGTCCACGGGTGGCCGGTGGTGGCGCGCTTCGCCGCCCCGGAAACACACCCAGCGGACTTTCTTCTTGCCGGTTACTTTGGCGCCGGCGATGCGCATGCTGTAGCCGCGCGGAATGGTCCAGTGGTCGAGCTCTTCTTGCATGCTAGCTCGTGAGGAGATGGTGTAGCCTTGTGGAGGCGGGTCGAGGGGGTTGAGCTCGGAGGATTGGGCCTGGGCCTGGGCGGCGGCGTGGATAGTGGCGAGGTTGGAGGTGCGACTGCTACTTCCACTTGGTGGGGGTGGGTGTGGGCGCAATTGTGCGACCGAGGGGGATTGGGCGTTGGTGATAATGGTTCTGCCCACGGCGCTTAGTGAGGGATGGGCTAGCACCGAGGCGGTTGGAGCAACCGGTGTCCCTGTAGAGGTTTGGTTGGCGTTGCCATTGGTATTCCCGACATTATTGTTAAGGCGAAGGGCCGCTTCAATCCGGTTGAGTCGTTGATCGATTGAAGTGAGAGTGTTCAAGAGCGAGGCAAGTTGTTGAGGTGTGAGATTTGGCATGATAAGCGGATGTGTGAGGTATCGTTTTGTGAGTGCACTCGTTCAATCGGTCGCTGGAATGTCGAGCTATTCGTGTACCCGCCACCGTTGTTGATCTGCGTGTATAGGAACTCGGCTTGGACTATATCGCACAGCCCTCCCCTTGTCAAGTGCAAGGCAGCGCCTTTTGATAACTTTGAAGATGTGAAAAATGACGGATGCAACGATCACGCTTGCTATCGCATGTATGACTCTTCCGGGCTGTTGCGAATTTCAAGTTGTCATCGCCAGCCTATCTCTGGTTGCCTTGGTGTTTGTGGCTTCACCCGTCACGTGGTACTGCACGAATTGACGGTCGCGTTGCGAACGAAGACATGATAACGCCCAAAGACCGTTGACCAAGTTGAGAAGGGACACTATCGTGACTGATAAGGTATCGCAACGTGAAATATCGCATTCTTATTCGCTAGTGGGAGGTACCACGCCGTTTTGGGGAAAATAGTACATTTACACTGATCTGAGGCCCCGTGTTAGTTGAAGACAATGATGTGAAAGAAATAGAGGCCTCGCAGTGTTTGGCAAGTCAATGATGAACCAAGCGCGAGATATGAGTAGATGGACACTGTTCCGTCATATCCGAGCCAAATTCCAATACACAATGAATCGCATTACATGATGCTTGATCGTAAACCTCCCGTAGTTGTCCTTGGTTAATAGGGACAAGAGGATCGTATAAGCAGGGCGACGCCCGCCTCATGTGACATGTACAATGGTCAAGGTCACACCACAACACCTGTGTGCAACAGTGCGACCTTAGACAATGGGTTTGATATACGAACCCTTCTTTGTCGGGGTATGCTCGAAACCATGATCTTCATTGACTGTTATTGACACCTTCGAACCATCCGGTATCAAAACCCTCGTCTAGACCACGATTCGACATGTTTCCTCCCTTTCGAAGCCATGGATGGAAAAGGGCTGTAACCATCTGCTCTACTGCCAGCCCAAAGTATCCAGTCACGTCCTTCCTTTTTGACTCTTGCTCTTAGGAACCCCTTTTCACTTGTTCCATGACCGTACTGGTATATTGCTCCTCACCATATCGAAGGGCGACAACGTGGTGCTCTTTTCCGAGTTCAGGGGGTTTTCGAACCCGAGCCCAAGCGACTAAGAACCTTGTCCCACGCTCTCTTAAGGCGACCAGAAGATTGCGATGACGAATGGCCGGATATCGACGTGAAAATCGAAGTGCCACGGCTGGTTTCGCTGGCGCCAGAGTGGTTACGGCCGCGGCCATCGCGGAACGAAAACATCTTGTTCGAGCTCGTGGTTGTGGCGCTACTAGGTCTCTCGCCGGGAAATGGGGTCGGGGAGCGCTGGTTGAGCGGCTCGGACCGAGCTCTGGGACGGAGCTGAACGTCCTGCGCAAAGGCAATTTTCTGAGGCATCTTGTGTGGTTTTCTTTGGGTACTGGTTGCAAAGTAGTTGGTAAGAAAAGGTAAAGTTAAGGCTCGGAAAAGTTGTCGGCGGATAAGAAGTTGAGGTAGAAACAAGAGGCACGACCAGTCGTTGCTCCCTTGGAAAGGATATTGGCGCTGATTCCGGGTTGAGAGATGTGAGCTAGAGTGTCCAAGGGTGCTGATGCTGCTCGCTTCTTCTTCGTCCTCGTGTCCCGTGGGGATATCTGCGCGGTCGACGTCGGCGGCAAGGCGTACTCCAGGTACTTGCGATGCCCAGATTTGTTGAAGGGGACTCGGAAAGCTGTCGGCTAGCGCGGGGAAATCTGAAGGAGTGTAATCGCGCGATGGGTAGAGCGAAGAGAAGCTAAAAGAGTGACTGGCGGGCTGGCCGACGTGCACACCCAAGTGGGATGGGACCTTGATGCAAAGACGGACGAAGGTTTAAGCAATTGGGAGGAAAAGAGCAAATGTGTATCAGTGGTTTTAAACCCTCAAGCATGAATACCCCACCGCTCAGAACCTGATTGCCGTCCCCAACCAAAGTCAACGCAGGGTCATCCCGTTGGCAGTTCTCGACTAACACATCCAAGAGTTCGGGTGAATGTGAGCGTGGGATTGCCTGGTAAAGATCGATCAAGGTACAGATGATGTCCACTTCAGTCATGCAGCATCGTGATATGACTTCTTATCGCAGCGGTTTGCGTTCGCAGTCATGCATTAGATCTACCGTACGATGGCACGTACAAATTTCCATAACTTCACTGAAGAAACGGAAGATTGTTGGCTGATCGGTCACCTCAACACCGCGAATCCACTGATTTGAAACCTAGAAGTCTGACCCTGAAATGGCAAGGTCCCACCTTGACGGGGGATTTCTGGTGTTTTACGGTTCCCCACGTGTTTCCCACCTACCGTACCGTCCTGTCGTCCACCTCCAGCGAAGTTCGTGGGGTTTGGGACGGCAGGTTCACTGCAGTGACTCAGCTGTGAGGAGCGAAGTGAACTCTGACGGCAAGCTCGACCAAAATGGAAATCATACACATGGAATGTCTCCCGTCTTTATGATTTCCACCAGTGTCAACTTCGTCTTGGCTTCCCCATTTTCCTGTTGGCAAGTCAGGATATGTAGTCAACCCGTCGGATCATACTACCGAGCTCCAATACAAACAATGTCCACGGCACGGATGCGTAGCGGCACGGAAGCTGCAAGATTAGGCACTGTGATGTGTCAACGGCAGTCATCTGCAAAGTGATAGTTCGTCGGTTTGGTTTGCCTGTTTCGCTCACCTCTTTTTGTTATCCAGTCACTGACATATCCGACGACAGGATCAGAACTCCAAGTAAAACAAACGTACAACATTGCTCCCTCACCGAGGCTTTTATTGTGAGCGCCGCACTCTGCAATGGCTCAACCAGAGCCAAAACAGGTACCCATACGATCCACGCAAATCATCCTAGGAACATTGACGCACCAAGGAAGATGAAGTGTCCGATATGTTGCTTCCAGAAGACACACCCGCTCAACATATCGTGGTTGGCATCAGCGTTGGGTGGGTAGCCTCGGGAGTAACATAACAACGTGGTTCTCGTAATGCCATGTTCCAACACGAAGCGCAATCTCCTTTCATCGCCCCAAACTGTATGTGCCGACAACCAGAACCTGGTCGTTTTTTCTGGTACCGATCGTTCAACAGCAGATTCTTCGCCGACATTCGCATAATCGCATTTCCGCCAAAGACCGGACGTTGAAAAATGACGTAAAAGATGCTAACGAGGGAAAGGGGGTCCCATGCTTTGTCACTGTGGATATTTCTACCGATAAGAAAACGATAAGGCTTAGAGAGTTGAAATTAGATCTCACCCCACTGAGCTGACGGAGATTGGGCTTTTGCATGGCCCACTGGAGCCCGCCAATGCAGTGCAACCCACCCGACCAGCATCATCACTCATCACAGTCTGCCCCTGCACGCCAGCATGGACGCCAGCACAGCGCTGAGAAAGAAAGGGCCATGGACGTTGCAGTTGCACTGCCGTACCTGCCGTCGGAGTTTTTGACTTTTTGACTTTTGACCCCTTGTACGAATCGAATCGCCTTTGGAGGCGAGCCCGGGGGCCTGGTCTGGGAAAAGGGAAAAAGCCGGCGGGCTTCATCCCCTGGACGTGCCTGGATCTTCCTACTGTGGTACTCGCCGGTATGCTCGCTGCCTGTCCCTTGCCCCTGGTGGGATGGATCATGGAAGGACATGATGGAAATCCTTCCCTTCAGCCTTCTTTCTTGGTACTTCTGGGCTGCTAAGACGATTACAATGATCCCGATGCCAGCATGGCGGTGACCCAGCTTCATGTAAGCTGCATATTACCCCATGAAGGAAGAAACCCAAAGGAGGGTCTATGGAAGGGCCAAAACAAAAGATCACGAATGAGTACCGAATAGGAATCCAGATGGGGTTGCAGACAGGCTGGACAATGAGCCAACCGGAGCTCCAACAAATCGCGAGTCGCGCTCTGGTGTTCCATGTCAAATTGCGGAAACTCAGCCACGATGCCGTCCTCCATGGGACACGACCAGGATGGGCTTTTACGGAGTGCTGAGAGGATCCCAGGTGATCCGCCTGGTGAAAACTGACGTTACTTGGGATCTACATGGCCCAATCCCGTTAGTGCTGACCCATTGGGCTGTTGCCTCGACCGACAGTTTTAAAGTGAAGGTCTGACATCCACCAGTTCTCTCCTTTGCTTTTTCCGCTATTCTGTTTTGTGTATATACAGCCTGATCTTCCTTCGTCTTGTTCGCTCTTCCACTCCTGTTATCACTCTAATTCCAACTTTAATACTATACCCAACTCTTCACTCTAATACCAACCCACCCAAAACCGTCAACATGAAGTTCATGATCGCCACCGTTGCTGCCTTTGCGGCCACCGCTACTGGTAAGAGCCAAGACATCAAATCACATCCCCAAGACACTCGCTAACCACACCATATCTACAGCTCTCAAGATCACTGAGCCCAAGGAGAAGGCCCAGTGGGATCTGTCCCAGACCAACACCATCAAGTGGGAGCACGTCGACTCCGACCCCGAGACCTTCCAGCTTGTCCTCGTCAACCACAAGACCGGCGGCGAGGAGCCCTTCACCATCGAGGACAAGGTCAAGACCTCGGACGGCGAGTACAAGCTCACCAACTTCGTCGCCGCTCCCGGTTCTACCTACAGCATCAAGGCCTACGGCACCGAGAAGACCAACAACGGCCAGCTTTCCGAGTCTCAGACCTTCAACGTTACCAAGTCTGGAGGTAAGAAACATGCCCATTCCTTCAGCCATATCAGTTGTCTTCAGTAACTAACCATCCAACCCCTTGCAGTTGCCGCCACCTCTTCCACCAGCACCGTTAAGCCCACCTCCTCCGGCACCCCCGCCAGCTCGTCCAGCGCCGCCCCCAGCGAGACTTCCAACGCTGCCACTGCTCTCGGCGTCACCTTTGGCGTTGCCGGTCCTCTTGCCGCCGTCTTTGCCCTCCTTTTCTAAGCCCTCGAAAGGAAGAATCGGAAGAAGAACTTGGATACCATACTACACTACACTACTGCATGCACATATAAATGAGCGTTTTGGATTTTGATACCACAGAGAGAGAGAAAGACAAAGATGACGTTTCGTCATGGTTTTCTAGACGACGGGAATGGGATATAATACCGCACGATGACGGAGAGTCATGTTATGTAACGACAGTGGGGGAAGGTTAGACTGGGCTCATTCACTACCTAAAACATGCGAAGAAGCGAAGGTTTAATGGATTACAATACCCCACGTAATTGACTATGAGTTTGTTGACCAAATATTAAGTGATCTAAATAAGTCTGACGGATGTTGAAACATACTTTGCATGTAAGAGTGAAGTGTCGTTGAAGTAAGGGATGTCCCCGCCGCCGTATTGCGACTTTATTCCACTGTGTACAACTTCCACGTTGCAACGCCGCAGCGGCAACGTGATGAGAGAGTCTGCGGCCCGCAGGGCACATAAACAACAATATAGCGGCGTGTCCCCTTTGCTATCGCATCTGGTTGGGTTAGAAAGGGTCTTGTTTGGACTCAGACTTGAAATAAAGTATCGTGCATACAGATGCAACACAACACATTAACGGCATGCTTGGCAGAATGTTTCGTCGCACGTCTTTGGAATACTGCTGAGTGACATGGTGAACCGGCTTGTTTCTTTACTCGCAGTATGGGTTGTCAAAGAAACATTTTAGTCTCGATAAAGCATGTAGAAGCCGTTCCGCTCATAATAGAAACCACATTGATTTAGATGCATGCTTCCCCGGATTATCCAACATCGCCCAACCACCGCACCCAACACTCCCACGTTCGACTCCTTCTCGACGTTTTCGACCATCCCCTCCTTACTCACAGGCCGAACCACTGCAGATCCGCCTCAGGATGCACCGGCACCGTATGTCCCACCCCCCTCGCCGAGTATCCAACCAGCTTGCTGCCATCCCCATACACAATCTTCGTGTACCCGCTCTGCGGCGTATCCGTCTCATTCTTGCTGAACGAAACGCCCAACACCTCCGACCACTGCTTCAGTTGCTCCGCCAAGTTCGGGTAATTCACAAAGAAATCAGCCTCGCCATGCCACGTCTGCACCTTGGGATATTGGCCCTCAGTATAACCCTCGGGCGTACCATACATCCCCTTGAGAAGCGCCGCCCATTCGGGTCCCGTCTTCCTGTTATCACCATTGGCACAAGTCGGGTCCGCCGTCGTCGGACTAGCGCCCGGGGAACCAGCCAGACATCCCGCGGGGACACCGCTGTAGCATGAGACAGCGGAGAACAGGTCCGGGTAGGTGGCGGCCATGACGTTGGACATCATGCAACCCGAAGAAGAGCCGGTAACGAACACCTTGGACGGGTCGGCGTCGTACTCATCAATAGCCCAGCGCACCATGTTGGCCAGCGAGGTAGTGTCGCCGCCGGCGTCGCGGGTGAGGGACTTGGAAGAGGCGACGTCCCAGCAGTTGTTGTCGTGCGTGGTGGAGGGGTAGAGGATCACGAAGTTGCGGCGGGCGTCGGCGAGGGGGTTGTAGTTGGATTGTTGCGAGTAGAGGGGGCCGGTGCCGCCGCAGTAGTGGAGCTGTTGCGAGAATTAGTTGTTTTGGCTTTTCTCATCTTTGGATGCTATTGAGGAAGAGGAGGAGGAGCAGAGGTTTCTTACGGCTAGGATGACGGCGGGATTGGGAGCTAGGTTCTTGGGGACGTAGATCTGGAGATCCAGGCCGGTTGGGTTTTCACCAAAGTTGGCAACTGGTTGCAAGCTGCCCGTGGCCACGCCGCATTTGGATGCGAGCACAGCGGTGCTTCCTAGGCCTAGGGCTAGGTACGTCAAGAGAGAAGTTCGAACCATGATGTTGAAGGTTAACAATTTTTGAAAAGTCTGGATTAATGAAGAGGAGTGAAGGGGAATGTGTGAGTGACACTGGTGTAACACTTGCTAAGAAAACATCCTGACGATGGGGTAACGGATCCCTTTTTGAAGCTTTCCTTAGAACTAGTAAACATTGACAGGTGCTTACCGCGGTCACTACACACGGCGAGTCCTGTAGTTTGTTTCCTGCTTCTAACCGATCTAGTGTAGCAAGTTCCGATATATCGGACTAATTGGGCAGGTCATGATACATCGATGCCCTTTCGAGACATCGCCGAGTCGGTTAAACAACGGTGCGTAGCAATGCGCACAAACGCTCGTCGCTTAGCCCCTAGCCGACGCGTTGTCAAAGTCGGCAGTTGTAAACATCACCAAACGGCGACCATCTCTCCGACAATGGCTTGATATCCGGCCCGTAAGCCCTTCCATGCGAACGAATCAGCTCATCGCGAAGACACGATGTTCGTGAGGCATGGTCCAGTGACGTCTGCCAGGATTTAGGTAGAGTCCTTGTCAATGCGAGTGGGTACTGGAAGGTACGGAAATGATGGGAATTGGAGATGGAAATGGAACTGGGACTCGGGAGAGAGACCGGATTGTGGAGGGCCAAGGGGAATTGCCCCTGGAGACACAGCGGGGCCGAATGGATCCACTTGCCGCTTCAAGACCGGGATTTTGCGGGGGAGGTCCAAGCTTCCGTTCGCAAGTTCAGCCCAGTGTTATCTTATCGGCCTCTCGGGCGCACGGTTCACCCAAAATTGTTACCAGCTCCAACCAGTGTTCACTGTGAACAGCGGCGCGCGCTGCAAGCAACCCCTCGAAATTGGCGTCGCGAAACTTGTAACTTGGATTCCCATTTCTTCCCAACATCCTTCCCCATCTGCGCCCCAACCTCAGATTTAAGGCAGACTCGAGAAACTTATCCTTTCGGAATACGTCCATACAGAACCTTCCCTCCCGCCATATCCCCCATTCACTCGCCGACCTTCAACTCTTGATCTCGAACCCCCATCCTCCTCGCGACGTCAGAACGATTTCCGAATCCCGACAGGGCTGCGCTCCCGACGCATGACCACGGGCTCCATGCCCATTTCTCTCGACCAGCTTTAGCCAACTCAATTGCCAACCTCACAAATGGCACCGAGCATACCAACCGAGCCGGCCTCGAAACGCAACGGCGCCAATGTCAATGACCATGAAGTGGTCCCGATAGGGCCTTCCCCGGGGCTTTCGTCCAACCCGCCACGCTACATCTCGGAACAGACGCTGCAACAGATGCTAAAGAGCATTGCCTACGACGAGGCAAGAGAAGATGCATACAGACTCAAAGGCGTCCAGCTCATTGACAGCGTTCGCCAAAGCATAAGCCTGTGCGGAACCATCACTTCTAAACTTTTATCCTAGCATGTTGCTGACGAGTGCCACAGCCCGGTGAAGACTTTCGATACTGCAGCGACATATTATCACAGGTTTAGGATACGGTTTCCGAGCGCCGAATACAACTATGAAGATGTGGCTCTTGCGTCGTTGTTTGTGGCATGCAAGGTGGAGGACACGATAAAGAAGTCTAAGGATGTTCTATGCGCTGCCCACAATATCAGGCAACCTCACGATCAAAGGACTCCGGACGACAAGGTTGGTCAATCGCCACATTGATGAACTAAGCTGCAGCTGCTAATGTTAACTGAACAGATGTTTGACGGGCCATCCAAGTTTACAGTGGGCCTCGAGCGTCATATCCTGGAGACCATTGGTTTCGACTTCCAGGCTCAGTATCCTCAGAAGTTGTTGATCAAATTGCTGCGGAAGATGTTTCCAAAGGGCGAGAAGGGAGACAGCCCCGATGTCAAGAGGTTCATCAGCGACGCATACGACATGTCTATCGATCTTTACAAGACATTTGCGCCCTTGAAGCAACCAAGCTTTCCTCTTGTGATGGCAATCCTTGAGTTAACGGTCATGCTTACGGGCACGGGTGCAGATCAGATTTCGCAGTTCTATTCCGTTCGGTATCCGGTTAGGAAAGGCTGCATCCTGGAGGTCATGCTGGATCTGATGGATCTTTACACGCAATTCTCCAAATCCACCAAAGTCGGCAGCAGATACGATCTTAACAAGTTGATGGACGTTAAAATTGACATCAACAAGATGCTATCGGGGAATCGGTACCACCGCCACTTTGCATGGTGCGACAAGTGTGTCCAAGACAGCTCGGATGCCCTTTCCGCCACCCCGGGTTCCGCCATTTCGCCAGCAACTAACAGCTCGCTACCGGGAAACAACATCGTCAAGCGGAATAACAAGTCGTCCGAGGGAACTTTGCGGTTCGTCTTCGACCATGATGATGTCCGCTTCGAGCGGGAAACAGTGGCGGAGTATTTTGACGATGTATACGAGGAGATCGAAGAGGAGGTTGAGGAAAGGATCCCCGATGAACCAAGGCACTCGAGCCGAAGCGCTCATCACTCGCATTCATCACACCGCAATCATACCGACCATGGCTGGAGTCCTTATTCGCGGAGTCGGCATGGTGGCCACAACAGTGACCGACACAAGGGGCGAAAGAGCCACGGTTACTATTGATCACTGTTCTTTCACTCTCTGTCCTTGTCATGGACTATGGGGTATATGGATGTGCACGGTGTTTGCGAGATTTGTCTTTTATTTTGGTTACCACATAGAGTTCAGCGGCTAAGGAGTTTACGGCTACTTGATGATACCCAGTCTATAGCACATCCGGAATGGAAAATAGAAGTTGATTGGACGCGTTCGTGTCATTAAGAGCGCAGCTTTTGATATCGATATTTAGGTACCCAAACGCGTGAAAGTCGTGGACGAAGAGATTTGGTGCAATACCAGCCAAAAGTATTACTGTGTTTTGACTTCCCTCTTACCATTTCACCTGCATTCCATGACCTATTGAACCCTTGGCGACAATGTCATAATTACTGTGGTGTGAAGCTGATGTTCCTCGGTGACTACATGGTGCCAAGCTTAGGTATAGTCTTCTAACAATCTCACTAGGCAAGGTGGCCGAGTG